TGGCCAGTCTCTGGCCTCGGTATGGTCTGGCGGACAAAGACTTCGTGCGAAGTGCCGTCTTGCTGCAAAGGGTGCGAAGTTCTTGGGTTCTAATTCTGAGTACTCCGTGGGGGCCGGCAGCTCCGAAATTTCTAGCAGTCAACGGGAATGAAAGGTGTGGGACTCGGCCCTGTGCGGTCCTGTAAATTGTTTGGAAGCCTGCTGAGATGCGCAGAACGATTTCAGTCCCCACGTCTACGATCTGTAATCCCAGATGCCCTTTTGTCATCCTACACCCCAATCACGCTTTCCGGATGCTTGCAGCGCCGGGCGCAGGCACAGCCCTGTGCAGCTGCAAACTCTGAGCCGGCAAGACGTCTTGAGCCCCTGCATCCCTGCGCTCGCTGCGTTGCAGGCATGGTAACTCACAACTGGTCCAACCTCTTCCTGCACCTCGTGGCAGGAATCCTTGCAGATGCGCTGGGCGAGTCCCCTAGCTCTAAGGAAGTTAGCTGGCTGCACCACGGCTCTGCTCATTGCAGTTCATAGCCTCTAGAGTCACTTATATGCCTTGCAACCTTGCATATCTTCTTGCACCATAGACTCGACTTCTGCAGAGCTTAGGTCGTATTACGATGCAGTGGCTGCAAAGCTTCTGTCTCCGGCTGGAGTTGAGGAAGCTGTGCAGTTGGGCTATGCTGCTGGATGTTTGCAATTTCAGCCACCGGTTCTCCACTGTTCGTCCAGCTTGCATGCGTGACGTTCGAAGGAAAGTTCGAGGAAGTAGAGGGACGTAGAGGGTGTACTGTGTACTCGACAGCAGACCACCCAAACGGGTCTCCAAAAGGTCAAGCCAAGGAAACTCACGCATGCAGAGAAGCACATGCAGCTCAGTTTAACCTTGCGTCGGTCATTCCGGCCGCTTGTTCCAGAGGTGCTGCCCAGTAAAGAGCAGGCGACGAGAACGAACAATGCACTGAGTTGCTTCCCCAACACAAGGTGCGCAAACCACAGTAGCCTGAGATCCAGCTTGAAGGAGCTTGCAGCCATGCTCCAGCAAGCCCCGAAGACGGCGTACTGGGTACCTGGGACTTCCCGAAGCTAGCGGATTGGGTTTGAAGGGCTAAAACTTAATTAATTGCGGCTTCAGTGTGAAGGGCGTCGAAAAGCAGCCTTGAAACCAGGCCCAGACAACCAATCTAGCCCAGCATTTGGGGGCTTCGTTCGCGAAGCAGCAAAGTTATTGGCGGGGTTGCACGGATTTTTCGAAGTCCAACCCCTCGCTTCAAGCGTTGAGGCCTGACCATGACGGGTTTCAGTGAGCATTGAAAGCAAACAGTAAGTATCGGCTCCCGTTTTCCTGCTTGTTACATCTATAGTGGGGTGACTGATTCTCAAGCGGCATCCAATCGAAACCCTGCTCCCTCCCTGTGAACTTCAGCCAGCACAGACGGGAGGAAATGCAAGCATGTGTGATTCTGCAGAGCTGAGGTGTGCGCTTTTTCCATTAACCAGCATGCAGCCCGGCAGTTTTGAAGGTGGATTCGGATTCGGACAGCGTCAGAACTCACCGTCAGGGCTGATTTGGCAGGGTGGTGGACGTAGGCCTTCGGCCATGAAGGATTGCTCGGATTTTGGCTTGCCCCGCGGGTGAGTTTCAGAGCTGCAAAACACGATGCGGCTTTATATCGAGTGAGCAGGTGGCACTGGACATGTTTCTTGCAACTTCATCACTGAGTGCTTGTTTGGCATTCTGAACGACAGCCAAGAGCGGCATTTTGATGAACCACCGGCATGTAGAACCGGCCCTCACGACTCTAATCCAACCTTGCGACCAACTTTTTTGAGCATCATATCGGGAGCGAAGAATCTTTGGCTGCGGTTTGGTAGATTCGGCCGCGGCGGGTTGCAGAGTAAGCCAGACGAAGAATCGTGTGTCCAAAACAGCACAAGAACGGTTCCACAAGCCTCACCCTCCCCCTGTCAAGGCATGCATCTGCCACGGCTTCAGCCAGCCATCCTCGAGAGATCTGGCAGGAACAGCTCAGCAGCGGTGGCTTGCACCGATTAGTTCTCAGATATTGGTGACCTGTGCGATCTTGCCAGCCGCAGTCTTAGGTGGCACAGGAAAGATTCCGCAAGTGGTGTGCCCTATCCGGTTGCTTGGCTTTGCCTGGGACTGGGGTCGACCCGCGAAACCGCTCGGGAATGGGTGAACCAACATCTTTTCAATGCATCTCCTCTGCTGCCTCCATCACCAAAGAGTCCCGTGCGATGAGGTATGCGATTGTCAAGAGCCCAAGATCTTCAACGATCAGCCTGCTCTGTGTGAGATGAACAAGTTCAATGCCATGATGAGCTGCTTGCCGTGCAGTTTGCCGGTCAACCGGAGGCTGACTGACGGCTCGGCAGATGCTGGCAGCCGACCTGAGAAGGAAGTTCGAAGCTGATGAGCATGTCGCCACAAGTCGGAATTTCGCGTAAGAAGCACACCCTTCAACTGCGCGCCGAATCTGTAGCAAGGACACTTGGCTTCACTAGAGAAGCACTTCTCCCACCTCGTCATCGCCGACTCGCACTTCAAGGCTCTCATCCGCATCCAAGCACAGGTTGGGGGTCGAAGAACAAGAGCTCAGTGACAGGTATTCACGAGAGCCTGGTGCATCGCAGAAATCGTCGAGTCAGAGGTCTCGCAAGTACCGAAGCGGACGCTTGGCCTCTGAGAATGCGCTAATGATTGTAACCGGTAACCCTTATATTGGCAGCTAATGCTACTATCTGCTACTACTAGTATCTGCTACCCTGCTACGCTATCCTACGCTGCTGCGCAACACGACGAATCGACGACTGCCGGGCCGTAGAGCCGAGCGGTGCGAGGCAGCGCAGCAGCGCAAGGCACCCAAAGAAGGAGTCTTCAAGAAATCTCTCCACGGCACCGATATCAATGTTCAAGATCATGCTGTGCCATGTAGTGTTTGCTCAAGCTCAAACCTGCCATTCAGCTTGATTTCTTTTCATAGGGCTCTGTGGGGTGAGCTTCGTCCAATGAGCTGAACATGCGTCCGGTGTTCGTGACAGTTGACGTGTTACTCGTCTCTCAGGATAAAGATACACTCGCAAAGTTCTCTGGACAACCACTACCAGAGCCTGTCGTGCAACTCGGAGACAGCAAGACTTGCGTACCCATACCTCGATTTAGCTCCTAACGCTTGTGGCCAGTCTGCTCAGGCATTGACGTCAGAGACTGTGAGGCATCTCGCCCTGAGGCAGCTTACACGCATTTTGTGGCAAGTGGCAGGCATGCATTAAGCACTGAAGTCGCTAGCCTGCCAGGTGTAAGGTTGTCATTCGGTCATTCCGCTCTTGTATGCGCAGCATAGACTGATGAGATGAATCCAGAAGCTGCGGCCATATCATGAGTACATGAGAGAGCGTGCTGTTCCATGTCATCGATTAGTTTTTCGAAGAGCGTAACCAGCATCTGCAACCCCGAAGATAACATCCTGAATCCTTGGCTCGGCTAGACGCAGACAGTCAGCAGCTAGCTGTTGTGGGTGCCCATCCCAGAGCCAGGTTTAGGCCAGAAGCCCCAGTGAAGCTTGGCAGTGCATCGTAAGCTTTGAAGCCTCAGACAAGGATCGAGACATGATCCTCTCGGGGATTTCGGATTTGGACGCCTTGAACGCAGAGCTCCAGTGGGCCATTTTTGGCACAAGAGGGCTCCTCCACCCGATTGCTTAGGGGTCGTGGCGACGTAGTTTTTTTGTGATTGCTCGATTAGGCAAGCAATCGCTATTGATGTCTTCATCCCAAACCGAAATTGTCTCCGACATCGTCCCTGGAAGGCGACAAGGATGCTGAAACTGCTGCACCCGAGACCCCCTTCTAATTCCCGAAAAAGCACGGATGCGGGATGCCGTCATATGCCCGGCCTGACTGCGACTTCCCCAGTCTCAGAAACTTGAGCCTCTACTATGCATCCCAAGTCCAAGAATACCCAGGGCCCTGACACAAAAAGACGAGGCTTCTGAGCAAGTGGGTAGATGGGCCCGGTCGTGCGGCACTTGTCGCCCGCCGCTCGGACGGCGATTTTTATATAGGGGACCAGGCTTTTCGCGACTGAGCCTTTAATCCGCTGGTGTCTGGAATTCGGGTGGGCAGCCTGTGTTGGGAGCTGCAAGGCGAGATTGGCTCGCAAGCTTAGGATGTTTGTGTCTGGGGCTTGGCTAGGTTGGCTTATTTAACTTGATGCCGGTAGATCGTCTTGAGAACAGCAGACGGGCAGCAAACTCTGCTTGAGGTGAGCACGCTGCCAGGGAGTGCAATCATAGGGCTGAGGCCAGACCGGCTTCGTCGACAAGGAAGTTTGTATGACCCGGGCTGCAGCAGTCCTACTACAACCTTCGGTCTGCCCGCCCAGGCATTCTGCGACGAATCGAAGGCCAAGCAGTTTTGAGCGCGGTGTAGCCCACTTTTAAGCCCATGTCCCCCGTGATCCAGCAGACTGTAAAGCTACCCTCGCATGTACAGCAGAAAGACTACGCTTGGTCGACCTCCGGGACACAAGGATGGTTCAGAGAATCCGCATAAGCGACAGGGCTCGAACTTGTCGTGACTTGTGCCTGCCTTTGGTCACCAAGCTGCATATATGCTGGCACGCAGCTGGTCTCATGTTCTGAAACAATAGGCTTTCAGTGGCCGACGCCGACGCTGAATGTGGGGAGATCACCTGGAGCGGCAAAGGTCACAGCTGTGGATTGTTTATCTGCTACTGCTAGGGACCGCAAAGATTTGCAACGCTGTCACGTGGCCCCTTTGCTCCAGCCACACTGTATAGCTACGTGATCACAGGCGCAATGCCTGCTTACAGCAAATGCATGACAATTCACACGCCTGGCGTTAGCCCCCCATGTGACTCTACTGGATCATGCTCGCTCCCGGCAGAAAAGGTGTCTTAGCGCTGCAAAAGTGGTCCTGAGCAGTTGGTGCTTCGGACTGTGGACGTGGCGCCCCCGTCGCAGGAACAGCTCATGGTTGTCATTGAGGGCAAACAGAAGGAAGCAGCGGTGACCGAAGAGGTGGTTTCCAAGGACCTGCAAACAGTGAACGGAAGCACTGCAACGCATCTGGGGGTTCCAGGATGTAGTGTGGCTGAAGATGTAAGGTTCGGTCCTGTTTCGCGGATTCAGGGCCCCGTGCACGTGGTTGGTTGGGACAGCTGCAGGGATTGAATTCGTGAAATTTTGCTGACCATGCAGCCTGGCACTGCGCAATCAACTTCGGTTTTCACAGGCCTCGACAGTGAATCCCGATCAGACTGAGGTAAGTCTGTCATAGTCTGTCCCTGCCTTCCTCTAGAGCTACTTACTTGTAACATCTGTAGGGGTCAGGCAGGGATTTACTGCATCTTGGGTTGCTGGACCGTTATCCATCATAAGAGGCTGGCCCAAGCCGGTCTGCCACAGGCCATGCATCGGCATCGGTCTTGTTCCCCAGAAGTCAAGAAAACTTATGTTCGAATCCGGCCAGTCGACAGGATGCCGCAGAGACAGCAAAGGTGGCAGAGAGTGCCAACAACATGAAAGTGGATTGCCAGCACCGCGCTTACTGAGCCCTGCACGGATGTAGTCGGGCGGAGCAGAGTCGAACGGTCTCGAGTGAAATGTTCATGCATGTCCGTACTTGTTCATATAGCTGCTTTCGTGGATCTTGTTCCGTGGACTGACGGCATTGCGAACACTTCTACCCGCACCCTGTACATCGAGCACCAATGGCAGCTGTCGGGCCGGATGTCTGCACACATTTCATGCAGCGCGGTCCATCCGTCTCCTGAGGCGGGACCTGGACAAGGCGATGCCTGCGTTGAACTCGGCCATTGAGGCCCAGGGTTTGGTTCAAAGTGCACCCTTCCTGAGATTGGACGGCGTACGGGGCGCAGTCCCTGTTTGGTGAGTACTTTCGGAGCTACAGCAGGAAGCAAAAATCCACAACCTGCGGCCACATGTAACATAGGCGGTGGATGACCGGACTTGTAGGGCCACCAGTAGGGCCGTTGGGATTTCGGCTTCGTTGAAACCTTCTGCTGCGAGGCACTGAACCAGCTGTCGAAGGGCGACATTGTGGAGGTCAAGGCCATGGGAAAGCCTCCAGGAGGTCCGGACCTTGGCTCAGATTGCTGGAGGTTTCCTTGGGAGCTCGTAAGGAGGTCCAGCATCAGCCCCGCCCGGGGTCTGAACAAGCTTGTTTGCAAAGCAGAATGGCCCGCCTCTACCGTAGACATTACTGCAACCTGACAACATCATGGATTGTCCTCCCAGGTGTCGTGCTGGTATCCAAAGCCCTCTGCTGGTGCTTCGGGGTGAAGCCGAAGAAGGCCAGAGCATAAGCAGGGTGCTGCAAGCGTCTGGGGTTTGGGTGTAAACTCAAACATTTCTTTGAGGTTCCAGCGCCTCATTCGCTTGCAGGTGCCTGCACCAGATGGCAGGTCCAAAATGGATGACTACTGGGATCCGGCCAAGAAGGCTTGTGTTTGACTGTACGTGTTTTTTGGTATGTGTTTGCATGCCTGCATGCCTGCATACGTACGTACCTGCATCTGTGCATGGGTTCCTGAAGTCTTCCCATCCCCACCCTCGTACTAGTAGTGGATTCCGGCGAGCAGGAGCTCTGGGGTGATCCCAAGCTGCTCGAGCGTCTGCTGAACTTTGACAAGGACAACATTCCAGGCGATGCCATGACCTCGGCCAGTCGGTCATTCATCGCTTTAGTGTAGGGGTTTCGAGCTCAAGTGTGTGTTCGGTTCTTGAGCAGGTGGAGTTGGATGTGCTAAGTCCTAAGTGTTGAAGGCGACTCTCTTTGAGACCGCGTGCGCACTGGCAGCGGCTAGAATATATTTATATATGTATATATAAATAGTCATCATGGCCGGGACACGCCGCGATGCTGTTGATTAGCATGACTGTGTTCACGATGTGTGCTCATTCAGCGCCTGAGGTTATGACGAAACTTCTGCCGCTTGAGACGGATCCGCTGCTCGTCTTGAATTTGTATCCTCATCTACAGTGCAAGTTCCAGCATCCGGAAACGACCTGTCATGCATGCGCTGCAGCCGTCATCCCTTCCAAGTGGACAACTTCACAGTTTATACATGTTTCGTCTGAACTTACTGCAACAAACTTACCGCAACAGAATCGCACGTATGGATCGGATGCTCGACATAGCAACGCATTGCCGTTTACTAAGGGACTTCGAGCCAGATGCGATCAAGAAGGCCAGCATGGAAAGTGTTATTGGTGTAGCCAGATGGCAGCCTTTTTTCTTGGTGTTCATTTTTGTATATAATGTATTATATATAAGTATACATATATATATATATATATATAAATACATACATAATTACATATGAAGCCTCCATCACGAAAGCTACAGGTCGCCACAGCATGAGCCACGAAAGTGAATCTAATTATCCGTATGCCTGTGCCACTCGACAAGCTCTAGTCTTAGCTTTGTTTTGGAGTTGACTTTGCTCAGCCTATAGGGCCTAGAATCATTACACCATTCACGAGCAATGTTTGGGGCAGATGCGCTTTGCGCTTGCAGCCTCATTCCGCATGAAAGTCGACTGTTGCACCTGATGCCGGATGGAACCCCGAGTCTCGTATCGATCGCAGCTTGTCATCAGGACCGAATCACCGCGGCAAGCGACCCGCAAGAGCATGCCGCACACGGACCGAACTTGGTACCGACACCACAACACAACATGGTTAGCCACAGCCGAGACTGAGAGGCTGACACAACCAGAGCGCGCTTTATGGTGAAGCAAGCTCTGCTTCAAACCACAAGCAGAAACAAAGACACACACATGTGCCCGTGTCAGGGGTAAGATTTATACAGTACGCATATACTTACATATGTATGTATATGCATATATTATATATATATATATAGAGAGAGAGAGAGGTGTGTGTCTGTGCATGCATAAGTATGTGTATGTACATATAAATGAATATATATATATATATATATATATATATATATATATATATATATATATATATATATATATATATATATATATATACGTGTACACACAGACGTATACATATATATATACATATATGTATAAAAACATACATACATAATACATACATACATATATATATATACACATACATATGTATGTATTATGAGAGAGAGAGAGAAGAGAGAGAGAGAGAGAGAGAGAGAGAGAGAGAGAGAGAGAGTGTGTGTGTGTGTGGGTTTGTGTGTGTGGGTGTGTCTGTATGCTATTTGCAGTTTGCGCAGGGACAATAGCACGGGGAAGCATGGCAAACGGCAGGCATCTGTGGCGGCCTGCGGCATCTGCAAGTGGGTCCTTTGCCTCAGCAACTCATTGCATCACAGTGAAGCCAGCAAGCGAAGACGGGAAGCTTGCTTGTCCTTCGGAGCCCGACAAACAAGGGAAAAGGACTTGTTGTCACACCGTGTTCGAGCCGTCGCCCCCGACCGGAAACCGCAAACCGCACACACACACACAAACACACACACACACACACAAATGTACACATATCTTTTTTCTTCGTATCTGCCAACTGCAGTACCTGTAGCCTTTGGTTCGATGCTCCGCAAGCCCAAACTTGAAGCGGCAGTAGCCGGTAGCCGAAGGCCCAACCTTGCTGATCTCGACAGCCGTCGGTGAAAGCAACGTAGGGGCGTACAGGAAGGAGGATGATTCTGCACCTCAGATCACAGATCCACACGACTCAGGATCATAGAGATCGCTTGATCGGAAAGTCGGAAAGCCAAGGTCCGAGCGATGATAGTTTATGACCAGGCCACCCCGTCGAAGTTGAGGGGACTGAGGTGTTTGGCAACACATCGGCAGGGTGTCAGAAACTTTGGATCAAGTGAGTCGCCCGGCTTTGTTGCTGGAAGGGCGGCTTTCACTTTCACTCTGTGTAGGCTCCCAGGCCCCGACAGATGTCACAGAGGCCCTATGCATTCATGTGTGTACTCGTTTGTTCTCTGTGTTTCGTTTGGGTTTCTCGCTCTCTCTCTCGCAGGAATCTGCACGGCAGTCCAGTGTCGTGTACAAGCTGCAGAAGCGGCTTCTAAGTCTTTCTCATTCTCGACGAGCCTCTTTGTTGGGCCATGCTCTTGGTGTATGTCAGTTGTCGATGTGCATACTCAAAACTGCTGTGCCGGGGTTGCTACTGTGCCGCTGGGGTGATGCAATTAAGGAAGCTTCGTCCGATTAGCAATCCCTAGCACGACCGTTGTCATTTCAACGTCAGGGTGCAACTGTCGTTGAGTTCGAGGCTCAAGCTGATAGGAGAACACCCGCAGCATTCTCCTATCAGGGGCTTCTGGCAAGCTTGATTGATCGCGGAGTTCTTTGCATGCGGGGAAGCCTCTTACTGCGCCCAGCACGAGATCGCGGGCAACTTATGTAGGGAAGTAGGGAAGGTTTTTTGAAGATTGCAGACGGGCTCAGCACTCCAGATGCCTCCTGCTTTTATTCAACACTTTCGCACTTGATCGTCGCTTCATGCAGCCACAATTTTTTGCCTTGCGGCTGCACGGGATCGGCAGCATGAGACCGCTTGCTTCTCATTTGCATCTGTCCGCCTTATACAGACAGGCGGTACTAAGGTTGTCGATACACCAAGGCTATCCAAAACGTCAAAGCACAGGAAGGCTGCTACGCCCAGGTCTGCATGTGGACTTCCATCTACTGAATCTACTGCCATGTTGGCTCTGACTGGCACTCAGGTGCATACTAGCAGCAAGGTCAACCAGCATAAGTTACGACAGATGGGAGATCCAGCGTGCTTGCGGTGAGTCCAGTTTCTGTTTCTGCGCAGATTTTTTAGAAGCATCATCATGATGATTCCAATGATGGTGGCGCCTACATGTGCGGCGGGCTGCGACGTCCGCGATGAAGGAGATCCCGCGGTGGCCATGGAGAACTTGGGTTGCAAGCAGACGGCTTTAAGAGTTCATGCTCTTTCGACCATGTTGACGGCACACTCTCGGGACCAACAGGATATGTAATTAATCGGGTCGAGACACAGAATGCCTCAACTTAACATCATGAGCCGGCTGCAGAATTAGGAGGCCTGCAGCTGAGGCACGAGAGCGTCGAACTCGAGACTCCGCTCTATCAGGCCTTGATGAGGATCGAGTATCGTTTGGATCGCCTCAGCGAGCGCATGGAGACCTACCACAAAGATGTGCTGGATGTGCCAAAGATGCACCTCGTCGCACCCAGCATGCGTGGTTGCGTTTAGCAGTTTAGCTTTGCATACTCTGATCACATGGCAAGCGGGATGGGTGTGTGTCTCCCCTTCCTGCTTCTGTGTCCTTCCTGTTGGGATCTTCTCAGGTGAGGGTGTGCTCAGGTGCAAAGGGATGACGGTCTTGTGATATAGCAGTGGCAGCTACAGTTGAAGCTTGAACACAAGGGTTTTGTTTCCAGGAAAGCAGTGAGTTTGAGAGCGGATCCTGGCCTGCGACCATCAGTTTCGGAGCAACTTGGCCCGACTTTGTCTGAGGATCTGTCGAATTGGCACTTGTGCCTGCGACTAGAGGGTTGTTCTTTCCAGACTCGCGACCGAGAGGGGGAAATCTTGTGAGGTGTTGGGTCACAGGCGGTGCAGTGCTGGGGTGAACTCGTTTGATCACACTGTTGCAGATCTCTGTCGGCGCGACGGTATGGCGATGAGGGATATGTTAGTCGCATACTGGTGGGGGAACCCGTGAGAAACTCTGCAAGCCTGAAGCGCCAATAGTGTGGTGTTATGCAGGTATTCGAGAGGCATCTGCGCATAAACAAAGCTCCAAGGCATGCTCTATTTGATTCCTCAGCCGACTGACAAACTGTCGACTAACTGTCCAACTCCCGCCGCATCGAGGAGCGTGCCAGGAGTCGGGGTTGAAACACCACCGCGGACCGCGAGCCCTGCAAGGACCACGAAACCCACCAAGGGTCTAGAGAGACTCTGCATTGCTTGTGCAGTCGCAGAGCGCGGCACCTTCTGCGGCTCAAGCATGCTCAGAATTAACAGGTGCTGGGCAGTGAAACTGTTGCCATTGACTCGTGGCGTTGGACAAACCTCTGTTCGGCCGACGGAGGACCAGCGAGACGAGTCAAGCAACCTCCGAGTCCAGAACGCCAGAGCGAGACGATTCAAAGATGTGGCTGGGACTGGGATCTGGAGGCTCATAGGGCTTGGAATAGTTGGGCACAAGCTTGATCCAATCATCAAGGGCTCACGTCAAGTGCTGGAAGTGACGCAGTGTCATATCAAGACATCGGGGCTCAAGTTGTGTACTTGCCTTTTGCTTCCGGACGCGCTGTGTCCCCGGAAGCAAATTACTGGGCATGAGCTGACAGCCCGGGAGCCTTTTGTGTTAATACTTACTAGAGTTACTACGGCTGGAGCTTCGGATATGAAGACCGTGCATCATGGATTCTCTTGCTGGCCTTTGTACATCGGTGGTGCGATTGTAAGACCCATTGGGAGAAGTCTCACAAAGGCATGCGGCATGATGGAATGCCAGAATCCCAGGTCGGCCGAGGCGACCTCGACACGCTCCAAGAACAATAGGCTCCGGTCCGAAAATTCTTCTTTGCCACTAGGGAGCTGAGATTGCCTAGCGGCCGAGCTTTGCGCCCTCGATGAGTCGGAGAATAAACCTCGGGGCCTTCCAGCAGTCCCCATCCGTAGCCAGCTCCCAACGAGTTGTCAGGGTTCTTGATACTGCTCACTGCCGGAAGGAAAGCGTTCCAGCTGAGCGCGGGTGGTCGTGATTTCAATTCCACAAGGATACTTGGCAGAGATATGTAGGGAGTCCCCAAGCCCCAAGACCAGTCGTTTGAGTTTGTGTCAGCATTTTCCTGGCCCCTTTGTGCACCGTCGTCGAGCTGGCAAGGGCCGTCGCAAGTCCAAATGAAGAACTATCCAGCTAAGCATTGGATTTGCTATCTTGGTTGCTTCATGACGCAGGAAGCTCTATGAAGATGACGAGATGGACGAACCTGTGTTGAGGCTCGTGCGACGGGGTCCGATGGACAGGCTGTGGGAGCTGCTTGGCAATGGCCGATGCAGGCGAACAGCGGTTGCCATACTATTCCACTTTTGCGCTTTTCGATGCGCGGGGAGGGCACAATGTGACTAATTGAAACTTGGAGTAGTTCACGATGCCAGCTCGGAGTTCAGGACGGAGACTCCCACCTACATCTTGAGGTTTGTTTGTGTGCCTGAATGACACGAGCTCAAAAGCAGAGGTTCCTGGACGACCCCGAGTCCAGCCTGGGGGCGTGGTTTGTGGGCGTATGCCTGAAAGTTCTCGTGTTCAGCTGCGTGGCCTTCGGCTTCTTTCAGACAACTCAGCGCCTGGGCTGTTCTTCAGTGTTTTTTGTGGTTGTTCGTCGTTTTCATGTGTTCGACGTCGCCAGATCTGCGACGAGCTTTCTGCAAGGGAGGCCTTTCGAGCAACAAAAGACCGAGGAGTCCGTTTGTGGAAGATGTCACAGTTGCAGCCGCCATTGAGACTGCGTTTGATGCCATCTTCTTGGTGGAGTTTCTTTGTCGCTTCGTTTCTGCTCCTTCCAAGTGGAGCTATCTGGTTGATGCCATGAATTGGCCGGACCTTTTCTCGGCTACAGGGCTACCGCTCAGGGCGGCTGCAGGCTTCCTGATTAGAGCCCCGTACTCGGGCTTGGACGCAACACTTATGTTCTTCCTGCCGCTGCTTCGCTTTTCAAAGCTGCTGCGGTACTTTGAGATTTTCAGGCTACTGAGTGAAGCTATGTACAAATCCGTCGAGGCTCTGCCCTTTCTCAGTTACCTTGCAGCGATTATCACTTTCACAGCTGCCACGGGCCTTTTCCTTGTAGAGGAAAGAAGCAACATCCCCAGCATGCCACACTCACTGTGGCTGGCCATTGTAACCATGACCACCGTGGGCTACGGAGACTTCTTTCCCACAACCACGGAAGGATACATCATCGCATCTTTTCTCACCTTCATCAGTATGCTTTTCTCGGCCTTGCCTGTCGGAATCATCGGCCACGAGTTCATGGACTGCTGGCGGAGCCGCTCCCAAGTCCTCCTGATCACCCGCCTCCGCAAGAACCTCGAGAAGTGGGGCTACTCCTCCCAGGACGTCCGAGCCACTCGGCGGTTGCTCAAACCATTGCCCTTTGCCCTTGTACGTCCAGCCTACCTAGACTATACTCTTAAGACACACGACCTGCACCAGGTCTTGTTCGAGCACGTGGACGAGGATCCGCGTGGTGCTTGTCCGTTGGTTCTGTGTGATTGCTCTGCTCTTGTACGAATCCGCGGGAATTCGCCGGCCTATGTAGCGGGGGGTTATGTGCGCACATGGGCACGCATATGTAAACACAAACATATTCGTGAGTGCTTGTGGCTGCTTGTGCATGTGCGTATGCCACAATACAATGCAATGTGGCATTTGGCATGGTAGTGGTAACGATTGCAGTGACGGACGGTAGGGTCTGGTATGGTACGATATGTGTAGGTATAAGAAGTCATGTGTCTTTATTTATGCAACGTAGTGTAAAATATTTAGAGTAGAGAAATGTAGTTTGTTGTTCTGTACTGTGCTGAATGTACTGTACTGTGCTGTACTGTATATTTTAAGAAGGTGCTGCAGCAAGTAAGGAAGGAAGATAGGCAGGTAGGTCGTAGGTCGGTAGGTAAGTAGGCAGACAGGCAGGTAGGTAGGTAGGCGTGTGCGAGTGTGTGTGTGTGTATGTGTGTATGTGTGTATGTGTGCGTGCGCACGTGTATGCAGAAACTTCGTTGGGCGGCAAGGCCTGGGTGCGCTCGACAGCCGAAACGCCTAGGTGGACACCTTTTTCGCCTCGTTCGGGAAATTGTGCCTTCCAAGTGGGGAAGAAAATCTTATACCCCAACTCGCAAAGGCTAGATGCACAGAGGCAGAGCAGGTCCTCAGGTACTAGGCAAGGGACTCAGACCCAAAGACAGGGCCCAGCTAGGCGAGCCACCATTCACCCCAGGACCACAGCAACATGTGCGTGTACATTATACATACATATATATATATATATATGTACGATATGATATGATATTAAGTATCTTCCATAAATACATGCGTGTATATATATATATATATATATATATATGTATAGATACTTTTTTCAAACATATCTAGAACCCTAGGTGTGTATATTATTCTCAGAAGGTTGAGAAGACACCAGCAACAAGTCTTTTGGAGGGTACCTTTTGGCCCTGATGGCCCCAACAAAACAAAGCAACAAGACCAAACTTCGAAAGCAATGCCGAGCCCAGCCATGAGACTTGTAGCATACATGGTGATGAGAGACCCAGTCGTTAGAAAGCTCTGCGGGGGCCGGTAAGCCTGAAACCCAGCTCAGACACTTACCCAGAGGCCCCAAAGTAGTTTCTTTTTGGGACTCCCTATAGGATTCTACATATGAACCTCAAAAAGGAACTACTTTGGGGCCTTTGGGTAGAACCCTCCAGGATGGGGATGGCACTCTGAGCCTAGCCGAATTTCTCGAGCTGATTCATCAGATGCGGATTGGCATCAGCTTCGATCTTTGGCTTTGAAAGTGTTCGGAGCTGTGGGGCCGGAGCATACATGGTATCGCACGGACCCGCAGCACTCAAGTGGCAGCCTTGCTTGCCAGAGAGACGAGGGGGGCGGGAGGGGGTGGTCCATAATTGGGATTCTGCAATGGAGGTTTTTTGAGTTGCAGGGCCCTGTCAGCCAAGGATAAAGCTTTCAAGATTTTCACGATTTTCGACGATGACCAGAACGACTCGCTGGACTACAACGAGTTCCTGAAGCACATCTTTCCAAAGGAGTCATGCGAGCGTTGTGTAGGTTCGCATTCTCACAGAGAAGTGGGTCATCTCAAATTGTTCTCAGCGGTCCGAATGACCGAGCCTAGGCTGGTCATGCAGTCAAGTGCCGTGTTCAAGCTTTGCTTCCTTGGCCAGCTCTTGCTCACCTGTCCACGACACTTTGTTTCAACTGCAGCTGTGAGTCACGTAAACCTCAGCAGACATGCGGCGGTATATGCATGTATGAGGGCTTTGTGCTGACATGCCTGTTGGGATTTTGTTTGCCTGATCTGATGCACCCTACATGGAGTCCTTGTTTCCGACTCGTTTCGGTTGGGGCTTTGTGACCCAGCATCCGTTGAACCAAAGCACGCGACTGCAGGAGTACGTCAGAACGCAGCTGACGCGATGCGATCGCAGGTCCAAGGCCAAGGCCGTGAAGGCGGGTATCGGAGTGGCTTGAACACCTCAATGGGTTGTTGGTCTGTCCGAAACAATAAAGCTGCCGCGGTTGTAGCGGTCAAGACGAAATTGCGATGATCCTCCCATGCTTCATCCAGACTCATCTGGTTCGAAGGGGAGAAGGTCCCTAATGGCCTCCCGAGCCTTCGTCTCTGGTAGAATTGTTCGAGTGAGACCGATGGCTCCCTGTTTTGAACCATTTCCGAAGTACACTTGTTGAGACTGAAACAGGCTCCTTTCGTGATGAGATATATCTGCCCTGCACCGATGTGGGTCGGTTGGAAATCATCATGTCATGGTTTTGGGTGGTGTGGGACTAATTTATCTGTCACTTGCACCTGTCTGAAGATTGACTTGAAACTGGTTCCAGTCGCAGATGTGACAATCGAAACGAAAGGCAGCCGTCCTTGGCAACAATTCGTTCGCAATTTCCTTGCTGAGCAACAGCAATCGTGCAGCTTCTCCACCCAGGTTCCTTGATGAAATCCGCAACACAGTCACAGCACAGTTTGCATTACAGAGAACCGAACGTGCATCTGCTCTCAAGAGCACGCCAGACCAAAGACAAACACGTGTATCTGCATGCTCGTCTGCTCGAGTCTTTGAGTAATGTCATGTCAGGCCGATGCTATCTAGCCAAGTCTTGACAGGTCTTGAAGCCGCAGTGTCCATCAGGGTGAACCACCGCATTTTCCTCTTCCATCACTCCCGTGTTTCAGGCTTTGGGGAATCTGGCCCCGAAAGATGACTAGCCGCATGTTTGCAACTGACGTCGGCTCAAGGTTTCACAAGTTTAAGGACTTGAGGATGTTTGGGGTATCAGTGTCGCATGCAAGTCATGGCTGGCATCTGGGCACTGTTGGTCCACACTGCACGAGCCCTGACGTTGAAAATGCAGTTGACCTGAGCCAAGGTGAGGCGAGTCAGAGAGGGAGTCTGATGTCGGTCCAATCTCGGCTCGCCGAACTTGTGCGGCACCAGTTCAGCGAGCAATATAGAGCCTTTCATCGTGATGCCTAGGACCCAGGATTGAAGAAGCGGCCGTTGGACCAATGCATACAGTAATGTCTATATGCACATGCGATGCAGCAGTCTGCAACGGCGAAGCCTGGCTTTGCAATTTGCCTTCCCGCTCAGTACAGCGAAGAAGTCTCCCCACAAAAGCTCTGTCTCGGAACTTAGATTCACATGACCCTATATTGTCGTGGCTGTAACGTTGCAGAGTGAGTGAGAACTTGTCGTGAGGGCAAGCTGCAGGGAGCAGCCACTCACCGTGCGAGCGAGCATCATCTGAGGGTCTCAAGATAGAAGAAGCCAGTGTGGAACAGTGGTTAAATGTCCCACTGACAGCAACTGGAGGGGCAGACGAGAAGCTTGCAGTCTACAGGCTTGATGCTGTGTGTGAATGTCCCCGTACCAACAACGTCCCTTGGTATTGTGATGGTCGTAATCAGTTGTTTTTCAGCATCCTACCTTGGGACCCAAGTATTCGGAGGAATTCGCAGGATGCCGCACAGTCACTGGAACTGTGCGACTCCTGCAGGTGCCTGGGCAGAACGACGACAGTCACTACAGGTCCTATACTTACAAATTGGATGTGCAGTCAAGTGTGTGCTACATGACACCCATAGACCCCGGCACTTTTCTGAATGCCATCGCTGTTAAACAGACATGGCAACGCTGAGTTGCAAAAAGCGCAGCTCTGCAAGTCTACATGCTCTGCCAAGCGCAGTCTTCCGGTCAGTGTTTGCTCGGCTTTACTGATGTCGTCAGTGCAGAATTCGATCCAAGCTCTTTGCTTCATTGTCGTCGATTCGGCAACACAGACAGGAGACCCCTACTTCGAGCCGGCGGAGCCGGTTCTGATTAACGTAGGCTACCGTAGCTAAGCCTTAGCTTTCCTGATCCAGGCCCAGGCCTCGCGTGACCCAGCCAAGAACGCCATACATCGTGGGCAGCATCCTGATCAGTGTCAGGTTTTTGATCCCCCAGCCCAAAGCCCCATAAGCCGCACATGCCTTGACTCAGATGGACGGATGGGCCATGCGGGTCTTCCGCAGTGAGACCGTAGCATGCCGTAATGTCGGCAATCTCTCAGATGGCATGAGGCCCTGAAAGGAACCTGTCGTTGACTGATGGTACGTAGATTCTGTGCAACACTCGACCCAGTCACCTCCCTACGTAATCCCAAGCAGTAGTGCAGAGGTTCTTGGCGACGAACTCATGCCTGGCAGACCAAGCGTACTTCTAAAAAGTTGTCTGACTTTTGCTGCCTGTCTATGTTTGCCAGTGTCCAAAGATCACCCTTCAGCCTGGAAGCTTTTGGGTTGCCAGTCATGGAAGTCACAGGGCTTTGAGGGTACGGACTTGGGCCCAACTTGCCAAGTGCAAGACTGAAAGATGAGAAAGCTTGTGCTTCGAGCTGGTATAGCATACAGTAGCTTGTTACACCCTTGACATGTGTTGTCAAATTTTGCCACGGAGGAGTCTGCTTTTGTATCGGGTTCACACAGGAAGCTGCAAAGGCCGGTTGCTGCAATCCCTGGAAAAGCTTTGCAGTCTGCGGCCAGGGTACCAGCAGTCTCCACTATGATGGCGAGCTGACGTGTTGGTGCTACCGAACAACAGCCTACTCTGGAATTCCCAGGAGATGCTCTTGGTTTGGCAACATCACTCTGTACACTGACGAGAATGCGATTGTCGGCATATTCGGTCGCCTGGTCTCCAAACTTCCCGCCAGTGGTATGACCTGAAGGCATGTCTTCATAGTATGCTCGACACGATGCCGCGGTAAATCAAATACCTGCGCAAGCAGAGACAAACCCAGCTTGATGATCTGCTGGCATGGGCAATGTGGACCAGTTTGTCGGTTATCCAGTCTGCATTTTTGCAGGACGGCCCAAAAGGGTGCTGCGCCAAACGCACTGAGACACCTAATGACTTGAAAGTCCCAGCTGATTCGCAAGGGTTGGCACCCACGTCATATGTGTGCGGCTCTCCCAAAGAGACCTTTGCCCACATGGCAGGTAGCGAAGATGGTTGGGCCCAAGAAGGCCGCTTTGGCCGGGGCAGAAGCGCCTCCTGGCTGGAATGAGGAGCACGAGGGTGTCGAATGAGAGCGGGCTTCAGATCTTGTGAATTTAAGGCATGGAGCTTGAAAGAGTGAGTGACATACATAGGGGAGAGGGAGAGAATGAGAGACGATTACTTTGGTTGTCTTCGGATCTCTGGCTAATCACGATTTGCTTGTCGAGTTGCTCACCATGTGGCCCAGACAACATGGGGGGGCGATGGTTTAGGAGGGGCATTTTGACGCCGGGCTATTCTCAGAGAGAGAACGAGAGAAAGAGAGAACAGAGAGCATCGGTTTCTCTTTCTGATGTGACACAGGGAGAACAGAGAGCATCGATCTTTCTTTCAGCATTCAGAGCTTGGGAGACCAGCGAGATGTCTGAGGCAGCTCGCCGAAGCAGAGGCTGCTCTCGCTCCTCGGCAGCGACAGGATAGCGATTTTCGGGTGCCACCAAATTCCCAGCCAAGTCGGCAGCTCGAAATGGTTAAAGCCCTTAAATCCGCAATACGGTCGTACCGTCAGCCTTGACCCCATCAGTGCGCATGGGTGAAGCGCATGTAGCTCTCAACCCTCCCTCAGGAATTCTCAAATTCAACTTCCATCCTCTCAAGCTGAGTAGGAAACAAATTTGAGCTTAGGCGCAGGTGTCCATTGCATGTAGCCAATGTAGCCGCAACGGCATCGCAGTCTTCGACATCTCGGCAATTGCTTCAAGCTTCAACTTGCAAGAAATATGTTGGTAGGTAAGTTTGAGCTCTGCCATGTTCGGGAATTAGGCAGTGGCCAAAATGTGCAGGATGCAAAGGTTTTGGCGATTCTGATGGTTTGTTGATCAAAGCGGCAGGTTTACTGAAGTCTGTTCAACATGCGTAGGGGTGGTTTGTGTGTGACGGACTAGAGGCGTAATCAATGTACCTGCGAGCTTTCTCGTCGGGCCCCCGAACTAGGGGTAACTAGACTAGTAACTAGACTTGAATGCAAGACTGCTTGCCGCAATGAGTTTGGAATTCGAAAGACATCATATACTCTTATCTTGATGGTCGCAAGACTGGGGGCATCGCAGCCCTTTCTTACCCGAGAAATGCAAGACGCAGCCGCCACAATTCCCCGAAAGGCCCCGAAAGGTCCCGAAAGGCCATAATCAGAAGAAGCTGCAAGCTGAATCAAGATCACAAAACTTCTGATGCTTCTTCTCTTCGCCCAGTTGGAAAGCATACTCTACTGACCGTGCCGTGCAGGTTTTGAGACTGGGGGGTGGGGGGAGGCAGCTCCTGAGGAGCCTTGCCAAGCAAGACTGCAAAGCCAACGGAGACCTCGCCTTGTCCCAGTTGTGAGTGGGGAGAACGTAACAGACCTCACGCAGAAGCCAGGCGGGAGGCAACAACAACGCACTTTAGGGGACCCCGGTACTCTCGGCCTAGAGCCGCAAAAAATATTCTCAGCCTGACCAAGCATGAGCACTCAGGCGATCAAGAAGGCCTGGGCTGGGCTGTGCTGGCCTTGACGTGAGATCTTTCAGAGTTCAGGATATCTTATATAAGTCTTTAATACTTCAGGCTTCTGGCTGTGTCGCCAGGTTCTCTGTCTGACAATGCATGTTGCATCCAACACACGCCTCGTGCAGGCAGAGCTCCAGAAGGTTCAGGACAATGTCGCCAAACTGCTCGAGGACTGGGATTGTGGAAATGATCTAGAATTTTGAGCCTCCCGCAGCCGAAAAAACGTCGTTTGCGCATCGCATCCTTGCGATACCTGCTGGACCTTTCGCAGGGAGCCGAAATCGTGTCCGAATGTATGAAGCGGGGACGGCGCAAAATCCTAAGTGTGAGAGTCGAAATCCCCGCCGGAGCCGAAGCTGCCGGCTGTGCCTAGTCGTAGCGCCTTCCTCCGCAATGACTTTGAGAGAAGGCGGCACAGGCGACACTGACACAGGCTGGCTCCTTTAATCGAACAGCCACGAGCCAGCCAGAAGACACCTACAGTTGCAACATGCTTGGTGACAACCTCTTGCCTCAAGCCATATCCCGCCAGGGTCTTGTAGCCTCTCCGAATGCCACTGCCGACACTCCAGCTCAGAAAGCTGGGCTTGAGGATCTGTTGTGTCCTGTCTGACATCGACTCCGGCCTTTCAGGACTTTGCGACAGCTAAGCAGAAGAAGGATGACCTGCAGAATCAGTTCGAGGTGCCTCGCAGTTGAGGGTTTCTCGCTGTGTAGACTTCGGGGCTCGGATTGACAGCTCTTTCCCGATGCTGACTGGGGGCTGAGGTAGGCTCCACATACGACGGGCTGGAAGGCAGTTGCGGTAGTCACTTCCGGAGCCGCGCACATCACGAGGTTTGCTCCAAGCGCCTCGTCACCGCAGAGAAGCTAATCAACGGGCTTGGCCGCTTGGACTGTGAGGTCTTCGAACCGAGTTTGCAATCCAGGGTGTTGGGGAATCTTGGACGTCTTCGGCTCCTTTCAAGAGCCACCAGACGCACACCGGGATCTCTGTCTGTGCAGGTTCCTCGCCGGTCCAGATCTTGCACCCGAAGCCCCAATCCGTAATTGAGGGGTCCCATGAATGCTCTGCTGAGGTGGTGAAAAGTCACGCTGGGAAGCGTCATCCGCCAAGTTGGGTGAGCAGCTGCCCGGTGGCATTTTTCGCAGCAAGAGAGCCCGCGGAAAAATCGCTCCGTCGTGTCGGCTCAGAGTCGAGCCAGGTAGTTCAGTGATGCACCTACAATTGTGCCTGACATCTGCGACTTACTCGGGCACGCCGGTGTTGTGCTGGGTGTTCGGTCTCAGGTATGACAACCTCACAGGGGATGTGTTGATCTCCTCTGGAATCATTGCTTACCTCGGCTGCTTCCTGGCCAAGTACAGAGTCGAGTCGGTGGACTCCTGGATCTCTCTTATGCGGGAGAACAAAGTGCCCTCTTCCTCGTCCTTCTTGCTGCGATCTGTCATCGGTGAGGATGTGGCCACAAGCCTGCAGATAGCAAGGCCTGCAGATACATCAAGCTGCACGGAAGCCCTAGGCTTGGAAGCCTGTTCATGAAAGCGTTCGTTGCAAAGCGTTAGGGATTCTCTGGTGTCCCGGCACTCACATCAGAGTGCGAGCATCAGGTGATTCGCCAGTGGGTCATTGACAAGCTACCCAACGACCAGGCAAGTTGGCTTCCATGATGCCATGGGCACACACTGGCTTTGGACAGCCATGTAATGTGATAGTGTAGAACGTGGTCATGTAATCACGCCAATCAGCTGACTGTCGATGTGCTGGGAGAGCGAGCGGAGGCCGTTCTTGTGGATGGTAAGTTGTGCATGCAACTGTGAATCAAGTTTAAGCTTGAGCTTTAGACATGAACTCGCGCAAGTGCGCATCCGGCCTGTCATGTCAGCTAACCATGCATCCGGAAACTTGGACCGCGATGCCGAGATCCGACATGCTACTTAAGGGTCTGTTGTGCGGCAAGTTGTACGTTCACCGTCTTGTGGGAGCCGAGCCACTCGGCGCCAGGCCAAACGGCTTTTGTAAGAGCGCGAGTCCGGGAGTCCGACTCCCCTTTAAACACCCTGAAACCCAGCGGCCGGGGCTGAGTTTTGCTGACAGGTGTCTATCGACAACGCCTTGATCTTGTCAAACTCCAGGCGCTGGCCTTTGATGATCGACCCGCAAATCCAGGCCCCGACTCCCTCTCTCTCTCTCTCTCCCTCTCTCTCTCTCGTGGGCCTCCGGCGGGTTTGGGTTTCAGGGTTCAGGTTTCTGGCTCCTGCAACCGGGCTTGACGTTTCGAATGCCTGGGAGAGAGAGAGCTTCTGGCTCTTTGCCCACATGGGGTTTAGGAGTAAGGGTGTCAGGACTCGGGCTTCGGTCCGTGGGGCGGTTGATACTTGTCGATTCCTCTTAAGAGCTGGAAAGATAATCCCTGGAGGCCAACAAGTGGATCCGTAACTCAAAGGGTGACAAGCTCCTGGTCTTGCGTCTGTCGCAGCACCCGGGCTGCAATGCTTTGGGGTGGGGGGGGGGGTCTCGGTGTAAGATCCGGAGTTTGAACAATAGTCTGCAGCTTGCCTGTTCTAGTGTTCTAGTTGGGGAGTCCTCGGTGAGGCAAAGGTGGGGCCAAAACGGCTGGAAAGAAACTCCGAGCGGGGAAGAGGGGCTGACCGCCGATGCCATGAAAGCAAAATCCACGGACTCACTAAAACCCCGGGACCGGACGTCAGTCTCGCAGGGGCAAACCTCCGTCCAATTAACCTACATGGGGCACGTTGCACAACCTCTCAACCTCTTTTGGGACCAGCTCCGATGGGCCCGCCAAGGAACAATTATGCCCGAAAGCTGGAGGTTGGCATCTCCCAGGGCCTTCCAGTACTTATCGAGAACGTGCCCGAGGCAGGGCGCCGTCGATGTCCAGCGCTGCTTGTGTGAACCATGTCCAGACTTCGAGCCGGCTGCAGTGGGAAGGTGTTGGATCCCCTGCTGGAGCCGCTCCTGCAGAAGGCCAAGTTCAAAGCCGGCAACATGATCATGACGCTCGTTCTCTGAAGATTTCGGGTTGGGTCTGGAACTCGTATCTCTAAAACTCGTGAGTTCACCACCTTATGCACTGCAAGCAATTAAAGAATTCACATAGCATTTTCTGCAGTTTGTGGATGGGGGCCTGGCACCTGCATGTGCCTTCTTGGCTGACAAATGGGTTTTCGCATTGTGGGCGAATACATTGCAGACCTGGACGCCTTCTGCATGTACGAGTTCAATATCATGGTGCCCTATGTCGATTGGGCGCCAAGCCTGGGGGGCATGCCATTCTCTGCATGCCGCACGTATGCCGTACACCTGACGGTGGAGGTCGACGCTTCTGCATGAGGATGCGGTCCTACTGCATGAACTGCATGTTGTTGCATAGTTTCTGGTGTGCCCGGTGAGTCAATGCGCAAGCAAGATGAAATGCCCGAAGAGTGTAGTGTGAGCTCGTTTCACAGGGTCGTCTGATGGACTGAAACTAGGGGCTGGGTTGCTTATACTGTGTGGGGTCCCTAGTCGTGTGTCCGGAAGGCGGTCTGCTGTCAACGCCACAAAATGTATGCTTGTGTAGTTGTTGGTGGCGTGTCGTATGTGGTGCTTGACAGCGAGCGAGTGCCCTGGTTCGAACTGCGGACTGGAGAACTTGCGATTCACTTGCTTGGTGATAAGTGCCAACGGTGTAGTTAACGAACGAGAGACCAGGATTGCTACAGACCTTGCCAGGCTTTGTCCGAGTGTGAGTGTCAAAAAACTCGTGAGGACTCTTCGCATGATCTGTTCCGGCGCCGCAAGCTCTGCTCAATCTCAGGATTCGGCTCGGTGATTCCACGGTCGAGTATAACGAGGACGGTCGCGGGGTGAGGGCTTTCAGTTTTAGGCGGACAGGGTATGGCTGTGAACAGTTCGAGAGCATAGCAAGTGCAGGATTTTACTTCGTGTTTCTTTGCGCTGGCAGGAATTCCGCCTCTACATCACGACGAAACTCCCCAACCCGCACTACTCGCCGGAGATCTGCGTGCAGGCACGAGTTGCGAGCACAAGACGAGGGCAGAGGCAGCCGGCCATGAACATATGAAGGCAGTGTATCTGTAGGCTATAGATTCTGCTTCTATGCTTCTATCGCCGTGCGTGAGACATGCTGCAGCTCATGGCCCGCTCGCTTGCCTGGCTTGGAGTTTGGAGGTCACGCTGCTGAACTTCATGGTGACGCCGGATGGGTTGCAAGATCAGATGCTGGGCATCCTCGTAGCCAAGGCGTGTGGGCAAAGAGTCCTTCGTGGGTCTTGAGCAGTAGTGTGCAAAGATTTTTGGGCACTTGAATGCCAGGAAGAGCCAGAAGTGGAGAAGAAGCGACAGAATCTGCCCCTCCGCTGCCTTCGCCGGCACCGCTTCCTTCAGGCAAGCACACCAGATCCCAAACTGTGCTCAGGATCATCGAGAGTGCCCAGAGCAAGGCGCAGCTCAAAGAAATCGAGGCCGGGGAAACGAGTGTCTGCTTGACATCAGGAACGGAGTTTGTAGCTGCTGTTGAATCATGCAGGGTGTTTTGGCTTTATGAAAAGAAGGGCACTGTGTGGATATGTGGCCAGTAGGCAGTAGGCACTTGAGGCAGGTTGTAGCCAAGGCTTACGTCGTCATGACATTCCTGTTGCATCCTGTTGCTGCAGCTCGCGGCGTATTGGCAGCTTCAGAAGTGGACACACAATTCCGCTGCAGGATAAAATCCTCGAGCTGCTTTCAAATTCCAAGGGCAACATTTTGGATGACGAGGACATGTCGCTGACCTGCAGGGAGTTGTCCTCTCCCCGTTTAGGGTTCTGAATTGAACATTCCGCCGGCATCACTTGTCTCTCTCATGAGCATTCTAGGGCAGTTTGGCCAGAGATGCTTGGACAGCTTGCATGCTGGCGGCTGGCGACGAAAGTCCAAAAAGTCAATCAAGTCCAACTCCAGGCTCCCTTAGGCATACTGAACATTACCGGTCCGGATAAACCTATCCTTGCAGCATTCATGCCAAGGGTCAGCGAAGTCGTATCAAGCTACCTATAGCGACTGTTGACTTCATGAAGCTTCCTTTATGTACCTATGTGGTCACGACGGAACACGGTTCTATGCACGGCTACACCCTGGCTTCTCACAAGCCCGTGCAAGCCAACTTCAGCCTCGATGCCGGCAGGAACTGATCACAACATTGGCCAATTCGAAGGTAACGTCCACACGCACCTCTGCAGCCAATAACTCGCAATTGTACGGACATTTACGGGTCATGGCATCATAGGCCAGCCCGGGGGGACACCGGAGGGCAAGCACATACTGGCATCAAGTTCGTTTCAGCTTTGGTGGCACCAGGAAGACACCAACAACTTTTCCGTCTCTGCAGGCATCGAGGAGCGCGTGAAGGAGCAAGAGAAAACGCACCTTGGTTGTCAACAGAACTCTGAAGAGCCAGGGTGTTAATCAAAGGCTTCTGGTGCCCCAGTGCGCAGAACCAGTAATTGCTTGAGAGCGCTGCTACCGGCTCCGTGGAGCCGTGGAGATTTCGAGTTGTGGGAAGCCAGCAGTGTTTGAGCTTCGAAACGTTGAGGATGCCGTGGACTTGAGTTGAAGCAAGCCTCAAGAGGCATCCCTCCTGTCTTTGGCTTGCGAGGCAGGCGCTTGTGCAGGAGACTCGTGAGACTTACGCTGCTTGGCATGCACTGGTGTATAGGTGCACATGGTAGTGCATTGAGAGTTCCAAGTCGAAGCCGCTGGTATGCAAGTCTGTAGGCGTATTGGTGCGGCACCAGTTCGACAAGATTGGTGCGTTGCGTTGCTTACACAACTCCCGCTCGTGTGCAGAGGTGCCCGTCTCCATTCGCAGCTCTGCGATGTTCTTTGTCATTGCGGATTTGTGCAAGGACAGCAGCAGCAGCTCCTTCAGAACGCTGACTAATAGACCAAACCTATATTATACTATACGCTGTAGCATGATGTCTGAATGTGCTGACTGTTGCCCATCGCAGAAAATGCACTAACAAATCCAGCGTGATAGTCGCTAAGAGCCATGAAAACCCTGCGACAACCTCCTCTACTACTGGTAGCGTTTATTTATGTGTGCGGCAGGTTGAGCCCATGTATCAGTACAGCTCCTTGGCTGCTGATGCTTTATGGCGCGTGCCGCACAGGTTAGTCGCCCCGGGTGTGTCTATACTATAGGAATAGTCCATATGTCATATATATATATATATATATATCTGGAGTCCGCGGGGCTGTGGGAGTGCACCTTTTTCCACAAAATCTAAGTATCGCATTGTCGAGCCATCTAATGAACCACCTGCGAGAATAGGATACAGGCAGACGCACACATACTTAAACGAGCATTCATTCAACTTTTTTTACACACATGTATACCAAGGTATGAGTACACAACTGACATTCTTTCTTTCTCGTTCGCAAGCTGTTATATCGTTGCCACGGAAGCTCAAACAGTCTTTCTTGGTTTTCTCGTTTCGTATCTCTGAAGCCATGTCGGAGTTTCGTGGTGATCATATACCAGGTTTGCTTCGTGAACTTGGAGGGCGGGATGGCGCACTTACATTCGATGAGGCTATCATGCGCATAGATATGTATGAAGAATAAAGATATACGGATAAATGTATATACATATGTCTATATATATATATAATAAATATCCATATACAAATACGGATATATATATATATGTGTGTATATACCCTCATATGTATGTGTGACATTGTGCATAATAGAGAGCTCGGCATATGTATAAGTATATATATATATGAATATATATATATATATATATACATATTATACTGTGCCTTACATTAATCGACAAATGTCGACTTTTCACTATTCATACATAGTTACATGCACATATCTGGGTGTGGAGCATGCTTCTAGATGTAGTACAAACTTCTGATCTATAAATGATATTTTATATGATTATATTCCTATTATTATCACCAACCATGCCTTTTGCATTAATACTCTTATCAATACATTTTAAGATAATAACCGAATATTCAATCCAAATATAGACAACAATAGCACTAGATATACGAAACTTTTCAATACACACCAAACCGAAATTCTATAGATTACCAGCAACAATTGCGTTGTAAAGTGGCACATACATGTATTTATCATATTTTAATTATAGTCATATTCAGAAGAATAATCGGAATATTAAAAGCATATTGGGTTACCAGCAACAAATGCGTTGTAAAGTGGCACATACATGTATTTAGCATATTCCATTTATAGTCATATTCAGAAGAATAATCGAAATATAGTCATTTATAGTCATATTCAGAAGAATAATCGAAATATAGAAAGCATATTGATATGTGGACAAGCTAAACATATAAATCAATGAACAAATCCTCTAACACGAACGAAATATAATTTAACATACAAGCATAATATGTTCTTTAAGCTTATAAAGTTGTTGGCCAATACAATATATAGATATGCACCCATTTAGGAAAGCCTACGTCTTCCAAATAATTGACGTCATATAGAGATTTGCATACAATAAGATAACATATAATCAAGATTATGAAAATCGACAATAACGAACCAGTATCGTAATAACGAACATGAGATTAAAGATAAAACTTCTATTAGTATCCTATTACGATATTTAAAATTAGCAAATAATTTTCTTATACAATAACGTTATGACAAACAAATATATAATTATACAAACAAATGAAATAAGCTAGATTCACTAATTATGCCTTCAGCTTTTACTTGCGAAAGAAAACAAGGTTTCACATAGAACAATACTAGTACTTTATTTTTTGTATCAACACAGTTGACACATGCATTTCAAAAATAGGTACTCATACATATTCACGTATATATACATATACATATATATATATATAGCACACATGCATACTTACATATTTCCCACGCACAGGTATCTATACACATCCAAGTTTTCTAGTATACTAAGAAGAGCCTATGTCAGATTATAATAAGATTGAATAACTATACCAATTTACAACAACATAACCACCAGTACTATACACTTTGTTTTGTTTGAAAAATATTCACAAAAAGTATCGACGAATCGGTATCTACCTATATATTTCAGAGACCCATTTAATAGTCCTCGTATTAACACTAAAAATGGTAGTTACTGTAAAACAAGCGGAGTTCGACAGATAATTGATCGCTATATCACGCAAACCCGAGTAGCCTACAAGAATGACGAAGGCATAATTAATGAATCTAGCTTATTTCATTTGTTTGTATAATTGTTTATTTGCTTATCATAATGTTATTGTATAAGAAAAATATTTGCTAAATTTGAATATTGTCATTGGATACTAATAGAAGTTTAATCTTTAATCTCATGTTCGTTATTACGATACTGGTTCGTTATTGTCGATGTTCATAATCTTGATTATATGTTATCTTATTGTATATAAGTCTCTATATGAAGTCAAGCAGGGATACCCAAATAGCAATCCATATAGAACTATGTAGTGTTTGCTTGTGTGTGTACGATATGAAGTCTGCACTCAAGGTGACGTCGCTGTAGTTCTGATGCGCCTCGCATACCCACAAAGCTTCTCATCATCATGAGAACAAAAAGTGCTGATGTGCAAGTGTGGTTTTTCGCACTGCTATCTAGTCGTATACGTTGGCCATGCTACGTTATGTCCCTGGGAGTGCGCATCTGCCGTGATTTACGCGCGAGTCTTTCGAAAAAACCAAAAAAACCAAAGAAACCAAAAAAAACAATTATCAGAGACTCCTGGACTGAGGTGTCCATGGCCGGAGAGTGTCAGATCTTTGGTTTCTTTGGTTTTTTTGGTTTTTATGGTTTTTTTGGTTTTTATGGTTTTTTTTGGTTTTTTATGGTGTTTTTGGTGTTTATGTTTTTTTTGGTTTTTATGGTTTTTTTGGTTTGTCTGTTTTTTTTGGTTTTATGGTTTGTTGGTTTTTTTTGAAAGACGCGCGCGTAAATCACGGCAGAGGCGCACTCCCAGGGTCCCCCGTTCTGTATATATATATATATATATGTACAGTCGTTAGGTGAATAGCTGAAGCGTTCTTCGCATGTTGCTTTCAGTTTCGATGCTTATCGCTTTTGTGAGAGGCGGGTGCTTTAGCATTGCACGACAGAAGCATTGGTCTACCCTGCGGCGGCGAATTGATCGAGGTCTGGAGTGGTTCATCGACATCTTCCTCCTTGCAATCAAGACCGCGGAGAAGCCCGAGCGAAACCTTCAGCGGCGTCTGACCGTGCCAAAGCTGAGCAGAGAGTTGGAGTTCAGGGCACCGCGGGGATCGCAGGGTCACAATACACGAGGACGTGGGTTGATTGGTACGACGGTCTAGTTTTGGACGTGCCGTCTGTAGTTTCGACTTACCATACAAGGTTTGATGGAGTCATTACATGCGTGCTGCAAGATTGCTGATTTGCCTCTGTTTGGAGAGTTGCCTGCTTGTAGCGATGAGTTCTCCGGACCGGTGCCGCACGAATGTATGGAGACAAGCCGACTAAGTTGAAAATGCATTGTGGGAGGTGCATCGTTTTGTCCAACTTGCTGCCTTTGCTACCGGAATTTTGGGTCTGGAATCGCAGGCTCTGCAGAACCAGTTCATCAAGCTTCTCTACGAGAAGGCCTGCATGTTTGCAGCTGGGTTAACTTCTCTGCAGATTTAGGCCTGAGCTTCCGACACTTGTCATGAAATGTTGTTAACCGATATCAGCGAAGGTGAAAAGCAGCCCAGAGTCCAGATGCCAGCAGCATCATGTTCATGTTCGAGAGGCCTGTTACAAAGGCTCATGCAGCCGTGCACACCGGAACAGCTCCTTTGAGAACGACGAAATACGCACATTCTTGTGTTGCCACGCACCCCTGAGGGCCACCCGGCCGGTATCTCCTTGACTATCGAAAGGCTGCAAAAGGTCACGGGCCCCCTCGCAACGGTTGTGGCATCTGAAAGGAGGGCCGGCCGATTGAAATGCATCACTCCGACTACGCATCCTGTTGTGTCACATAGGTTTCTCATGCCTTCCCCGTCAGCCTCGTCAAAATGATGTTGACATACATGCGTTATCATGAGCTCTGTTCATGGGCAGATGTCCTCACGGCCAGGTCTGCGACTCCCTCTTCGCGAAGGACAAGCTCATGCTGTCCCTGCTGCTCACATTTAAATCTATGGAGGCTGGAGTTCGGGGACATGACTCTTGCAAGATTGCCGCGGAAGCAACCAGCCGGTAGAAAGGTGGCAGCCTAACGCAGAAGCCTTTCGGAGCTGCTCCAGACTTTCTCCGCCACCAGGTCGACCACGAGCTGGACCAGGCAGAAAAGAGCTTGCTCCTCGTGGGCGGCACCACCGGAGCAGAGGCCTAGACAGTGGCACAAGCTGGGCGGCACAGCAAAATACCGTGTGTACTCTTAAGAGCTTGGGTTACTGTAGAATGCTCTGTGGTGTAGAGTGTAGAGTTACACGCACGCACCGGAAGACAGACACAATATAGTCAGATCGAAGCTGAGCCAAAGCCAGGATGCCCATGACAGGCTGCACGGCACCTGAACTCTTGAGCCACACCGCACATGCGCTCATAGCCGTTATGGCCTTGTAGTAGCCTTGTAGCAGGTTCGTCCACGGCCACAGGCTGAATGGCTCAGTGATGCAGCTTGGCCTCCTTGATCGCGTAAGTGTGCACCGGTGTCAGTGCATGTGACCGCGCAGAGCAAGTTCTTCACCGTTCATGAAGCTACAATATGGAGACAATAAGCCCTCTCCGTGGCTTTGCAGAGGTCTCGTGGGCACGCATCTCTGAGCTGGAGGTGCCCTGCTGTTCTTTGCAACCCGCCCCACCAGCAGGGGTACCGACCCTTTCAGCGGAGTCCGAAGAGAGATCTAATCGAAGGCGATCTTTTGATTCGAACTTTTCTGTGGCCGATCTGCCCAGGATCTTGGCAAGGGACCATGGCCAGGCCTTGGCATTGCAATAGAAAGAGCAGCCTGCGCAGGGTTCTAAGGGCTTGTGTAATCCGTAGGCCAGCCGTGGGGATCTTCATGGCTTCTGGCGTTTGGCGCAGGGGTGTCCGAATGCGACTACGCTGTGTCAGCAGTATGGTATGCCCTGGCAGCGTGCATTTGTGGCACTCGTATCAGGTACTGGGTTTATAACCAAACTTTTCCACGCGCACAAGGTTTCATGAGGTGTTGTGGATTGGCACTTACACCAGTCTCTATATCAAATGCAGAGCCCTGCAGGATTTCGAGTCTGTGTGGGTTGTTTCGGGAGGGGCTCTTGGATTTGGGGCGGGGGGGGGGGGCTACTTTGGATTTCTGCTTGCTGAACATCTACACTGCATCGTACAATCTAAAGCTTGAGAAGAAGACGCTTGCAGAAACACTGGTTGTCGGGTCCCAGCTGTAGCGTCAGCCACAACCCACAACAAGCCAGTACCAAGAAACGTCTCGAGTGACTCTGAGACCTATAGAATTAGAGCACCGTTATGGCAGCGGTTGGCTTGATAGGCTGTTCTTCTGACATGGGGGCCTCTCAAGCTTTGCCCCAGACTCTGGCCTGTAGCTTTTCCAGGATTCTGCGAGATGTTCGCGTCACACCTCGCTGCCTGGAAGGAGGTTTTCGATTCCGACGATCCAGTCCAGGCCGGTGATGACCAGTCGCGCTGGATTCATCGAAAAGCGTGTCAGTACGTCGTAGGTCGGTCTGCACATATGTGTGCTTCGCAGTGTTGGGGCTCGTTTTCCTAGCTCGATTGCATCTCGAACCATGAGTACATGTTATATATATATATATATATATATATATATATGTGTACATATGTGTGTTCTCACGCCACCTTGCATGCTCCAAAGTCGATGCTACTGCAACATGGCTTTGCCTCCGACGTGCCTGCCGTTCGCTTTGCAAGGCACCTTGGCCTGGCGGTTTCAAGGACCAGATGACACCCATGCAGCAGGCGCGGAAAAGGTATGTTGTCTGCTCTTGCAGGGCTTGCACCATCACTTGGCTGCTTCTTCCTCACCAGGTGCCCCAGCATCCTCTCAATCCTTCGGCCGGAGTACTTCAATCATTACTCACACGATTGCTGCACCTGACTAGAACTACCTCACCACCTCTCATACTCCCTTGCAGCCTCCTCGAAACGACACTACAGCGCAGCAGATTGCAGCCGAGGTTCGTAGGGTTTGAGTACTGGACGCCGGCACAGACTTCGGCTCGGGCGCCGACGACATCCCAGTGTTTGCATGGTCCGCACACATGCCCCCGAACCGTCGTCCAGAAGCCGGAGGTCCTGAAATCAGCCCATAGCAGGCACTGGTCTTGTTGGCAGTCCGAGCCGATGCAACGGTTCAAGGCGCGGGCAGCATTTGGAGCTTCAACTGCTCTCGAGCTTTCATTTGGGACTCAAGACGGGGCCGGCCGCTTTTGCGGTGTCGAAAGTCTTTAGGTTTTCTAGTGGAGGTCCATCGCACTCAGAGCCAGAATCCAAGTCCTGCAAGCCACAAGTCGCCCAATCAAGTCTCCGTCAGTGATGGCTTCGCAGGCAAACTAGCACCGATCGGCTTAGCCAGACAATCCGCGGTCTGGCTGTTTGTTGAAAAATCTCCTCTTCCTGCGAGGGCTTCAAAACATCATCATGGCCAAGCTCGGAGCAGATTTCCTGGAACCGCCCCCGTTTAATCTTGAGAAGGCGGGGCTCGCTACACAATTATCGATAACTTGCATCTGAGGGTGTGGAGGCGGCATACAAAAGCCTTTGGAAGATGGAGTGCGGCGTTTGCTTCTTTCTGTCAGCAAGGCATGGAAAAGCTGCTAGCTTCGGTAACGCTGATGCGGGATCTGACTTGTTCGCACAGATCCTGAATCTCTTGTATGTTCCTGAACATGAAACGCGAGCTTCGAGCCACGCCTGGTCAATTCGGCTAGTGCTGGCTACCGTAAGGAACCTCCGATGGGTCTAGCTTAAACAACAGGTCTACAGTGACAGCAACAACGTCACGCCGCTCATCTTCGTGCTCTCTTCAGGCTGAGATGTCTAGGCTAAGAGCCGAGCCCACGTTTGGGGTCCGCTTCTCCCGTGTGTTCAGCGTCTCGAAGAGCTCGGGTCACACAAAACCGGGTTTTGCAGTCGTTCATCGTGAACGACCTGACCTCTGTAAACACTCCAGGAGCCGACCCCATGGCCGAGCTCAACCGCCTGGCCATCAAGAACAACATGTCCCCGGGCTCTTGACACTACTTCTTGTGACGTCTGGTCTCGTATAGTTGAGACTCATTGTCATAGCGCAATCACCAATCTTTCTGTGCTTCAGACGTGGATGCCAGGAGTTCAGGGGTTCGAGGGTGTCCGATGTGCGTTTCGGCTGACACCTGGCTGGAGCTGGACAAGAGCCCAAGCCAGAACGAAGTCTTTCTGGGGGCTCTGGGGCTTGCAAGGCCTCTTTTGTCATCGCTTGGGCGGCCAGGTTCGAGACGAAGGCGGCCGTGTCCTTGGGCCAAGGCCAGGGGCCGAAAGCCGAGTTCGCCATCAGCGAGGGCAAGACGGCAGGCTCCTTGCCTGACCTTGGCCGAGTACCCACGTACCTATGTTTAGGTCCATACTGACTGCTAGTTCTCTCAGGCGAGGGCTTGCCCAGCCTGCTTTTGAAACCAAGGCAACTGGGTCATCCTCCAGAATTGCCATCTCGCAGTTTCATGGATGCCAATGCTGGAGAAGCTCGTGGAGGAGCGAAGCTGCTTCCTTCAGAAGAGTGATCAGAGCTATCACAGCCGTACAAACCAACAGATCTCAAGTCAGAGGGTCATGCAACTCAGCCATGCCAACATCAGTCAGCATCTCAGTCTTCATCACATCCTGGCCTGAGCCCGGTCAGGAGTTGGACCCTGATGCTGTCGCCCACACCTTCCGCCTCTGGCTGAGTGCCATGTGCCTTGTCGCGAAGGGCATGGTTGGACCAACTTCCCGCGAAGTGGCCACCCAAAGCAAAGCTTCGCGGAGCCAAAGTCGAGAGCGATGCTGTTACTCCCGTCTAGCCCAGAGATACCCCACCTTCATCCACACTCTACATACAGTCAGTAGCCCAGAGACTCATAAACAGAGAGACTCGATGCCGGCAGCGAGTCTGCCAGGCCGTCGCCCCATTTCCCTGTGAGCGTGCTGCAAAACGGCATGAAGATGACCGTCGAGCCACCGAAAGGCTCGGAATCCGCAATTCAAGCTTTGCGGCAATTGTCTCCTCTTCACTCCACATGCAGCATGCTGGGCAGGACTCACGGCCGTGTTTCAGGCAATGACATGAGACATCTAGATTCTGTTCGTGTGTGGCTTGCGCTCCTCCGTCAAGCTATGAACCTGGAGCCTGGAGCCCCAAATGAAAGATGCCCCGAACTTCCCAGCGAAGTGCTGGACCGAGTCAAACGTGGTTGGGGTGCGGATTTTTGGTCCAGTCCTCTGCTGTCCTGACTCCGAGTGTGGAGTTGAAATTCTACTGGCCCGCTCACGGAGGCTTGAAGTCCAATTTGCTTCGTGCCTACCTCTCCTTCGAGGACAGATGCGGCCGGGGCGGGGCTTGCGTGCTTATAAGGACTTCGGAGGTGCTGACCTTGGGAAAGGTAGATTCCTGCCGGCCTGGTGAGAGCTTCAACTCGTTAACTCCTGGAGCGCATTGTGCCCGAGATCTGCTTGGAAGCTCAATGATGATTAGAAGCTCGCAGCAACTTGAAAATGTTCGTTGGTCAAGCCTTTCAGGAAGAATGGTTCGAGTCGGCAGGCAACACTGATGCTTCACGCAAGGCCAGCCTGAGTAGATCCGGATCTACGGGTCGGCTTCGAGGTGAGGGTTGCAGGGTTGTCTGTCCCCACAGCAACAATCTGAGCCGTGTGGTGTTTGTTACTTCCGCCAAGATCTCACAAATGGTTACCAGAAAGAGAGTCAGCAGCAAGGCCTCAGGATCTACTGACCGATCAAGCGACTCGAAGTACTGGTACCTGCTACCTTGACATTGACTTCTTCTAGACCAAGCACTGCTTGCTGGGAAGCTCTCCTCTTCTTCTTCTTCTTCTTCTTCTTGGGCTTTCTTTCAGGGGTACTGCCTTCCAGAAGGAGCAGAGGGAAGCTGGTGACTAGCGACTAGAGATCTGGAGTGAGCTGTTGTGTGGCGGGCGATTGCGTTTTGGGCAGCTTGCTTCTGAGCGAACATGCCACGCCTCTCTGAAAGCCCCATGCCAAAGGAACGGCAGAACACATGTGGCCACTGCAGCTCAGCCTGCTGTCCGAGGCATTCAGGAAGATGCTCTTCGGCCTTTGCTTCTTCCATGCGCTGATCCAGGAGACACCCGTTCTGAGTCTCCTCTCGTCCTGAGTCTATAGGATCCTGTTTGTGGTCATTGCTTTCTGCGGGGCATCTTATCACAATCTTGCAATATTCTCTCTTGCGATGCTGGATGATGCCTTCTGAGATTCGCCGCAACTTTACTGACTCCGATAGCAGGCAAAGCCCACAAGAAACTGTCAGATTTCCGATTCCGAGAATCTCCAAGAGCTAGTAAACGCACGGAATCGACACAGGAGCGATGTAACTACGGACCGCTGGGATGGAACATCCCCTACCAGCTCCTGGAATGAGAAGAGCGGACTTCTCTTTGGGTTGATTCTGGAGACTTACAGCTCGGGTCTGATGCGGGCTTACACGTAGGGTCCAGGACGGCATCGAAAACAGCGTGTCAAGAAGAAAGCTGGAGCCTCTAAGACTCTAGCAACTCCAAGCTCCTGGCCAAAGCTTGGGGGTTTAAACCTGAAGCCTCGCTGTCCCCAGTGTGAGAGTCGAAACCGAAGTTCTCCTTCTGGGCTTGGGGGAAGCGAACCGGTTTGGGGCTCGGGGTGTTTGTGCTGCCTTGCGTTACGATTTGGTGAAGGTGGTCCTCCGAGACTGGAGTTCGGAGTCCACAGGCCTGGGAGAATTTCCTCTGTGCGAATCGAACCCGAGGAGCTGTGGCCTAAAGCAGGCTTCCAAAAGTTTACAGACTCGAACCTGCTACTGTAAATGATCCTTGCATCGGAGCGTGGTTTTGGACAGCACCACACCTTGCACCTTACCCAGGTTCTCGGAGCCCGATCGCCAGATCTGCGTGTCGCAGCTCAGGCCCTTGAGCAGCACTAAGCAGATCGGGAGTTGGGGTTTGAGGGGGCCCAACTGATTCTCCAGCTGAACCCAACGTGCGCCAACCCGACTGAAAGTGTGAGTCCACCTTCGCTGCCGTGTTTCGCCCGTGCTTTCTGCTTCAGGATGTTCTTGGAAGAGAACGCGACGATCCCCTACGCAGCTCTCAGCTACACGTGCCCAGTCAAATTAGATGCAGGCTCAGGTCGTACGATGGATAAGCGGAGTGGCTTCGTGTATCACGAGTGCGGCAAACAACACAAGAGGGACTCGCAAGCTTGGAGCTAGCGCACTTAGCCCATTGCTCCGCGCAGGGCTTCGGAAGCAAACTATGGCGGGCGTGTCACGGATGCACACGACCGGATCACCATTGCCAACCTCATTACAGACTACTACTGCGACGACATCCTCAAGGCTTGCGCATACCTGTCACGATGTTGCTGAGCACGCCCAAGACTAAGTCACCAAGTCAAGTGAGTGCAGCCCCGCGCTGCTTCTGCCGAGGGGGCAGCCCATGCACGAGTGGGCGAGACTTGGTAACTTGCCCTCGCTGCAAACTGTGCTTGCTTTGTTGCAACATCTTGCGTGGTGAACGTGCTTGCAGGATGGCTACAAGTTCTCCGAGTCGTGCCCTCAGCGAGCTTCCACCTCTTGGCGCACCTACGCCGTAGCAAGGTCGCCCCAACAGACATCTTACTTGCAGTACTTCAGCATGCGTGCCAGCCCAAATAGTTCGCAGCGATTGCAGCTGCTGCTAGCTGCTAGGTCAATGCGACACAGAACCTCGGGCCTTTAGCTGCCATCTACACCCAGTCTAGAACGCCTGTCTTGTGCGGAGACATTCCAAGGTCCGGGATCTACTATGCCCCGAAGCACCAAGCCCTCTCGGGCTACCTTGATTACATCCGAACACTGCCGATCAACCAGATGCCGGAGGTCAGCTGCGAGTCGGATCTCAACTTCTTCCTGTGTGCTGCCTGCTTTTCACCACCGGCCGGCTTACATCGAATGCATTCTGCCGGCCCGCCAACATAGAGAGCTGCTGCGTGCTTGGGCTTCAGAACTTCATGTTCCTATGTTCAGAAATGCTTTCACTCTCTCATGCAAGGCAAGGACCAGATGGCCCACGCACCGCCGACCACAAACACCGTTAGAACATAACCTGCGAGGAAGCAAGCCTGCTATGGAAGCACTGAAAGCAGCTCCAGCAGAGGCCCAAATTTCATCTGAACTGCCAGGCCTTCGGCTTGCATGCCAACGCCAACCTGTCGGCTGCAATCAAGGAGGGCTTGGGGGCCCTTTGGCACGAAAGATCAGACTGGACAGCGGCTGTGCACGGCGAGGAAGCTGGCTCGTTTCGGTGGTGAGGATACCAACCACCGTTGACCAATCTATATTGCTTCAGATTCAGAAAGAGGAGTTGAGTATCTGGCAAGTCTGTATTTGTCCGGAATGGTGGCGTCACGACGAAGCCCAACTCACCCCTCGTATTGTAGGGACTGCACTTCTACCCTGAGCCCGACCTCGAATTCGGAAGTCACGGCCCACGTAGAACCTCAGCTCCTCAGCTTTGGATGGCTCACCGTGTGTCAACTAAGATTTTGGCGACGGCCAACTCGATGTTGCCCAAGGGCGGAGGAGCAGACGGGGGTGCCAAGACTCCCGTGCCTCGGTAAACGCCATCTCGTGTGAGCCATTGTTGGAGGTGCATGCACAAACACTCCACCTATCTATGAAAGCAAAGCACAACTTCATGTGTGTATCAGTATATATGCAGTAATGAATTGCATTAATATGTGTTCATGTTCATGCAGGTCACGCTTTCATGCGCAGCCACATATGTATGTGTTCAACACACGACAAGTTTCATATTACTTGTAATGTGTTTGGTAGGTATGTCTGTGTAATATGCATGTGTACACATTTTGCATGTTATACAAAGTATTATACACACACACACATATATATATATATATATATGTGTGTGTGTATCATATTGTACATTATATGTGTGTACGTTTTTTTGTGTTTGAAATTGAGATACAGTTAGTAGGTCTATGTGCATGTACATGTATATGTATGCGTGTACATGTGTGCATGTTACACACGCAGAGAAACACAGTTCCTCAAATACCTGTTTGGAACAGGCTCACGATCTAGCTACCTGGGACCCACCCGTGCTCTTGCATAGCGAGACTCTCGAGGATTGCAGGGCGGAGAGAAGGAGAGGAAAGAAAGAGAGAGAGAGAGAGAGAGAGAGAGAGAGAGAGCTGGCGAAAGAAAGAGAGAGAGAGAGAGAGCTCCTTGACCGAGTGCAAGCAAGAGAGAAGACCAATTCGAGTTAGAGAGCATCTATAGAGGTATTCATGATCAGTTGCGAAGGCTTGCCTGCTTGTGCGAGTGTGAAAATCGAATAGGGTGTGTATGACCTACGCATACGAGAGCCAAGAATCCACTCCGGTGTGCTGTGGTTTGGCATGTCCCACAAATTTGGAGAAATTGCGTTGGAAACCGAAGGAAGGGATGTCCTGTGGACCTCGCAGGTGATAGTCGTTTCGATTCAAGTAGGCCTTGAGACAGGTGTGAAGCCAGTGGCCACCTAAGGATCAGATCTTGACAGAGCTCTCGACCAAGTTCCTCACAGAAGTCCGAGATTCGGCGTGAATTCGAAGAGGGACGTTTCGCTTGTCGGTTCGGGATATGTACCGGATGTGCTTTCTGGAGGGTCCAAGGTTGTTTTTGAGCCTGGAACACCGTCCAACGAGTGGCAGCATGCCAGGGCCTCCTTTTGACACAGAATGGCTGGTGGCAAAGTACCCCACCGACTACAATGAGTCCATGATGCTTGGCTGTCTAGTTTCGGTGTGATGTTTGGAGGCTCATCCGTTTTCGAACGCAGTTGAGTATTGGGCCAGTTCGAAGGTGTGAAGGCGCAGATCACCTGGAGTTCATCCAGTGGCAGAAGAATGCATGGTCAGTCTTGCCATGACTCCAACCCATCCTTCTTGCAACAGACCTGACAAGCCAAGGAACACCGTGGTAAATCAGGAAGCTCTCCGATTTAACAAGCTGCTCCTCCGAGTGCGGGCGAGTTTGGTCGATATCGGTCGCCTATCTGAGTGTTTATTGGAATTGGTGATTGTGTGTTTGCACATGCTGTTTTTTAAAGATTGCCTCACAGAGTCATGGGTCTCAAAGCCAACTGTTTTTCCGCTGCCCGGCTTGATAGGGCAAGCATGGCCTTTAGAGACATTCTGCATTTCATCACTGGGCGATCTGCATCCGTTTCCGTGCTTTCAGCCCGGACAATCGTAGTACTGTCGCTGCTATTGCTAGGCAAAGCGGTGAAGGGCTTGGTCATCATGGGCCCAGCAGCTCGGCAAATTCTACAACGTTCGGACTGTATTCCTGCAATGCTGTTGGCCCACATTGTAAGAATGTGACTTGGCGTTTCGTGACACTTGAGGATCTGGACGACGTTGCTAATGGCATCCTGCTGAACAAGCAGCCACTGGAACGCACGCTTTGTTTTGCGTTGCTTGCTATTAGCTTGGCCGGCCTTCCATACTTCACATCTAAGGCCTGAGTTCTGGAAGAAGGTGTCCTATCCATCTTTGAAGCCCATGTCTTCCTATGTGGCGGACCTCGTTGCAAGGATGAACTTCTTCACCGACTGGAGACTTGCCTGTAGTCATGGGTCTTTGATGATGTCAGCTCATGTCAGCCTTGCATTGGGTCGTGCATCCGCGGCATAGTCCAAGGCCGTACTCTCCCCCGATATTGCCCCTTCTGCATTGCTTGATTGAGACTGATACGAGTCCGAAGCCTAATTACGTCCGACACCGCGTGCCAGGATGGACAATGGCCATCCATCCAACTACTGGCTGTCGGGCTTCTTCTTCACGCAGTCCTTCCTCACCGGACAGCTACAGAATTTCGTGACGCGGCCCTGAGCTACGGAAGTTTGGGCTAGAGGAGTCCCCCCACAGCTTCAGGAAAGTCAGGATTGTCTCATACTTATGTACAGGTCCAGGCGCGCTGGATCACACTCGACTCCTCATATCCCGCCAGGGTATCCTTGCAAGGGCGGAGCGTGAGAGTCCCTCCGAGTGCGCAGCAATGCAGCAACCCCACGAATCCGTCGGATTATGGGTTGCATAGCGATAGATTCTGCTTCAATGCAGTTTGCCATGCATGTGAACTCGGTTTCGAAAGTCACGGGCACCTCAACTTTGGAGTTTCACGTTTGAGCGCGAGACTCTCTCGGATGTGATGTTCTCTCTCGGATGTGATGTGTAGCCAGGCTTTCGTGGATTTGGCAAGAGTTTGCTAGGAGTTGCTCGAAAAGCTTGCTTCCACACTAGCTGGCAAACAGCCCGAAACCTGTGATAAAAGCTAGGGTCAGGAGCCCGAGCCCCAACTTGAAGCAGACCACAGCCACACCAGGCCCGGAAAAACAATTTGCCAATTGACACGCTGATCTGGACCTTTGATATCCTGAAGAAGGAGACCCTTACTTTGGGCCTTATAGGGCCTACAGGGTATTGAGATGGGAGTGTATACAGAGATACCAGATCATGAGGGCTTTCTGATGCGGTCTTCTCGATGAGTCCAAGGTATATTGTGCGAGCTGTCGAGTGGGTTTTCCATGGTTTCCAGGTTAGGGGCTTCGGGCATGCAAGGTGCTGACTGACTTCGTGGTTAAAGTGTAGCCGCAACAGCTCCACCCAGCATTGCATTGTAAGAGGCCGGAGGAGGTTTGTAACTCGGAACCCGGTCGTCATGAGCGGACCTGGGTCTCAACTCCTGGCCAGACACCTGACCTTGAACACTGAAGTCACTGAAGTGTGGTCGCAGGAGAACAATCATCCTCCGAAGCCAGAGGCCACTGATCCGGTGGTTACCGCATAGACGTATTCCATTTCAGCTTTTCTTGTGGATCTTTGGCGTGGGGAGTCGGCTAGCCGTGCACCACCCAAGAGGCAAGGAAATATATGATGTGGAATTGCATATGAATATCACGATATCTATTCGGAACTTCCGCAGTGAAAATCTAAACCAAAACCTCCAGGCCAAGCCCTCTTCTCAATGCATGAGAATTGGAGGCTCACTTACTGATGTCGCCAGAAATGAGGAAGCACGAAGCAGAAACCTTTGTACGTCGTAATGCCTGACCAGATCGCGCGACCAAGGTCGCTGCGCGTAGGTTAGGCTTGCTAGCCTGCGCTCTCCACATACGACTCGTTGCATTCCTCAAAAACGAGGGGCAACGCAGATGCCAGCGAAAGCGTGCCATCCCAAATGAACAACCTAAGGGACGGATGTCCTCAGAGCACCAATTCACAATGTCCCTGTGTCACTGCCACACTGTAAGCCTTTCGGATTCAATCAGGCTGAAACACCCTCCCCCTATTTGACCCTGCTTGGACGGCTCTAGCGGCTAGCGGCTAGACCCTGAACCCACAAAACGTCACAGCTGCATGGGCAGGATGGATGTGTGGTCTATGGGCTCTTCATGGACGGCGCACGATGGGACAATGAGCAGCAAGTCATCCAAGACAGCTTGCCCAAGGCAGGGCCTCTCTGTGCGGAGTTTTAACCAGAATGTGGCTGGAGATGTGAGGTATAGATCAAGCAAGAAGCTCAGCGGAACCGTCCCGGCATAAAAATCCCGAGAAATCTTTTGAAGATCAGCCCTCACTCTACGGAAAGGTACTCCCTATCCTGACACTGAAACCAACTTTATGCAAAACGGTTTACTGCCCACATGTATACTGGAATTTGCAGCCAGATTTGTGTTGCAGCTGTTAGTTGCACAACGCATTGACACAATCCAATTAGAATTCGAATACGTCAGCATGAACGGACGGAGTAACGGACGGAGTCGATGCAGAACCGGCCAGGTGCTGTTTTCAGAGATTCCACACATGCACTGGAAGCCATGCGAAAAGGACAAGGACCCCGCAGCGTGTGCATGAGCGATCTGAACCTGTACCTTGTCGCCTCACCGGCAGCTCATTGCCATTCTTGGCAATGACATACACTGGCTTTCTGGGAGACCGTACAGCGTGGGTCTTACCAGTGACTCGCAGCTGACTTTTCGGCGATTGCGAGGACCCAACTGATCCTACGCGTGTCTATCCCTCGCCCATCTACAAGACCTCGGAAAGAAAGGTCGGTGCTGTGTTTTGCCATGCTGTGTGTCTGCGTATATATGTCGAGGGCTCCTTGGAGTCTGATTCCGAGACTTTGCCGCTACCCTTCCGATGCATCCTTCTTGGATGTCCTGCTTCGCTTGAGAGCTGCCTAATTATCGTCGTCATGTATCATGTCGACAGAAAGGTCGCCCCCAATGCCCCAAATTGCCGCCTTGCGCAGGGAGTTCTCAGCACAACTGGTCACTCCACCAATTTCGTCTCCACCATCAAAATCCCGATCGTGCGACGCTTACTACCTTAGTGCATGCAGCAGTCTTTGCTGAAGATTTGTTTGGATTATGGCTGTCGTTTGGATTCTCTATCACACTCTCCCCGCAGAGCTTCCTTACTTCCTACAGCTGGGATGGTACAAAGAGTACGAGCACAGTGTCCCTTTGGAATGACCAAGATATGATGAGATTTGCTGCGCTGGGCATCTCAGGCGAAAGAGCATTCTGCAAAGTTCTGGATCAAACGTGGTGTCGCGTGCCTCTGCGACTCGGCCACAAAGCAGATCATTTCAAATAAAAAGGGCTTGGGGCTTATGGTTTTGGTGAATGTCGCCGTTCTGCCTATGGGAAGAGTCATAAATCAAGATGCCGAGTACACGCAGTGGCCTCTCAAATATACACTGTTCCCATGCCAGCGATCGGAGTACTTGAAGCTGAACCGCAGACACCTGATCCCCAAGCCATTGCTGTGGCACAGACGCCGAACTCAAACTGCATTCCGCACCCCGGGCTCAGCAAAGCGACCTCATTACTTCGATAAGGCCAGCTGGACGACTGATGAGGCTTCCTACTGGCTTTTCACCATGCATGCAAGAATGCAAGAGCTGGCCTCTCAGTGACAAAGGCTACAAGAAGTAGAACATGCTTTGTTGCAGTCAGGTGAGCCTGACTCCTCAAGAAACAGCCCTGCGCCCATGAATTCGAAAGTGCCCGACTGTTTGAGCTGCAGCAGGCATGGCCCAGCTCTGGAATTCCTCGTTTGTCGGATGCAGGCTCAAGTGTCTGCAGCAGCAGGGGCCTCTTCTGTACATCTTCCTATAGTAGCTTGGTACTTTGAACTACAAAGAAGACATTTACATTTCATCATTTGCGTGCATACAGCCCCTCTGCCAATTAAGCCTCCAGAATCTCGTGTGTTTTTCTCACCCCGCCCGGTAGATGTCAGACGTGATCACGTCTTGACCTAGACCGGGGGCGTGTCACACCAAAGTGCAGGTTTCAGTTTAACATGAAAGGGTGGGGTCTAAATTCCGGAAAAGCCAGCATAGCCTTGCACATGCATCAGCTCATTGCTGCTGTGGCACCACCTAGTCAGAAAGGCTGCCTCGGAGACTGAGCCCTGCTGGCAACTTCCGGCCCGGCGGCACGATAGAATCGAAGACAACTTTGTGGCTTTGCGCATGTTGCAATCTCAACTTGAAGGTGCCCTAGACTGGCTTGATTTAACAGCGGTTGCTTAGAAACCACACCTGAACCTTGAAATCGGAACTGAGAAGCCTGAAGCCACCAAGCACCCCAACCCCCGGGCTTCAAGCCCACATCGCCAACTTGGCAGACCAAGAAGCGAAGGGCCTCAGTCCAGGGCAAAACCCATTCGGCAGCAGCTTCAGGGAAGCCTGAAGCCCGTTAGCCCGGTTTCACCACAAGCGCCCTTTCCCGAGAGGAGAGCCCTTTAGTCCTAGCCTCACACTCCCAAGGCGCACAGCAAACTCATCAGGGCAGTGTTGCATTCGTTGTACAAGCCTTGGAGCGTGCGATGGGCTTTTCAAAAAAGGCTTTGCGCTCCATCCTTCCGAAGCGTTGTTCCGGGTTTTCGCGAGTCCACTTCGACCGAATCGCATCATATTCCGGCACACTATTATCTACTTGTACATCATTTGTTCCAGACTCCTGCAACGACATTTCGAAACTCTGGCTCATTTGCCTTGCCTTCATCTGCCTACCTAGTCTGTACATAGTAGCTTGACACGTACACTGCCACACATTCACAGCGATAGACATACATGTTGCGCGTGGACAGGTTTGCAAGCCGGTGCTTCTCCCTCCACTCATGGCTGTTTTGGTCCATCCGGCCCAAGTGGTTCGAAATCACTCAGCCCGCACCCTCCATACCTAGCTTTCGGACGAGCGGCCCTGGCAGCTTTCTCCAGGCCTCTCACCCCCGGACGGAAGCTGCGAAAGGATTGGGACCTTGTTGAGGCTCGAGGCAGTTTAGCCCGGCTCCCAGCCTTGGAACGGCTTGACACAAGCTCCAAGACCATGGGATCTACATAGCTGCGGCGATGGGACGATGTTGTACATTTTGACCTGGCACGAACCGAACTGGGGACAGCAGAACCTGCACAGACAGTTTTGGATCAGATCTGTTCCGAGCACAGAATCTTCGAATTATGCAACATGGTTCCTGTGCAGGTGCGGTGCTCGCCGGCAGCCGGCTTCGGCTACCTCCGTCACAATTTAGCTGCTTGCCCCTTGGCGTGTGCAATTGACATGATGAAGTCAACGGCCAGGGCAGCGAAGCCAAGACACCACCAATCGTCTCATGACGTTAGCCGAGTCATTCTGCGAACCATGCTCTGGAGAATCGATCTGTGCCAGCATGCCGAAATCGATTTGGAAGACCGGACGTCCTGACGTAAAGATTCCGAACTTATCGAAATGTGTTTCTGAGGCATGGTTTGTCCACTACACAAGCTGCTGCTTGCGGTTTGCCTCGCTGAGCTTGCTGGAGCCATCGTCCATCATCAGGGCTACGGGGCTTGCATGAACAAGACGGCTTGGTGCCACAAGATAGAGTTTCAATCTGGGAATTTATTGCTGAATTTGTTGACTGACTACGCTTTGTGGGCCATGATTCTCAAACGATGCATGTCAGTGAGCACACCACTCTGCCAGCCTTCAAAAACGAACCGTCACGTCCCTATCTCAGGCCAGCAGACAACCAGGCGCTGCTCCCGACTGTTTTCCCATGTGCTGGGAAGCTCCCCTGGCTCTACTCTAGCTCGCAAGTATAGCAGGCTGAAAGTTGAGAGGCAAACGCTACTCGAGGAAGACGTTCTTTCATGCGTCAGGGACAAGTGGACTCCGAAAGATGTGCCGAACCCCGCCACGGATCCACAGCAGTGCGGCCAGAGACTTGGCTGTTCCGTTGCGAGGAGCAAAGGCTGCCCTGTCATGTGGGGCAGGCAGAATCTGCCTGAAAACCCTGATGTTGGTTCCAATCGGCTTAGCGGCTTTCTACGTACATCGAAGGCATAGAGACCAGAGCACCAAGGCCAGCTAGAATCAACACGCCGAAGCCCCTTCTGACAAAACAACGCTGCCAACGCTTCAGGTTTGAATTCGACAGGCCGTATCTGCGATCCCGACCTGCTCCCTGACAGCAGCAAGACTAGTCAGGGCAGTGGCAGGTGAAGTAGATGCCTGGCTGGCCGGGACGTTCGCACGCGATATGTACACAGATTTGGCCAAGCTTATTCACGGGCTTCTTTTGCCTGAGTATGGGTGTTTGCCGCGTGTCTAAGTGGCTGTCTTTCGACGGACCGCTCAGTTGGGCAAGCGCTGCTGGCAGAGTCAAGAAGCAAGAAAGTCTTTTTGTTTTCCGTTGATTGCTGTCTGAACTCAGGCTTCTGTCTCCAGCGGACCGACAACAGATCCAACAGGTGGGCGCTGCCAAACACAGGAAATTCTGCGTAGGTGAATCGAAAATCATGCTCTCCGACTTTCGGCCTGGCCTCAACATACGGGAGTTTTGGATCATTGGTTTCTTCAACTTTAGCGATTGCATGGTCGAGGGAGTCCGAGAACTTTGTTGAGCTGGTCGTAGGTAGTGTTCAGGGAAGGAGTTTAAATCGACGAGTAAGTCGACCGCTCCGTGCCGAAGAAACTTGTTTTTCGAATTGCGAGGTTGTCCCCTGAGTTCGATCTGCGGCTGAATGTGGTGCTTCTGAGCCACGAAGCACAAGACTTCCGTGTGACCTCAGGTCTTACAGGAAGTGGATAAGAAAACCAAGCTGCAATGCCCAGATGGTATCTCGTCAGCGCGCAGACTTGCGACCCAAATTCGGAAAGTGGGTATAGTTTCGGGGCTCACAGACACTGCCCGTGCTGGACACCTAACTGTCGCAGCTTGGCTCCGAGGACCTAATCCGGCTTACCCCCAGAGTGTCGTGAGCATGCATGCTCGCTAGACAGCGCTTGTCAAAGCTTTCTTGTAGATTTTTGAGTGGTATGCAACATCGGAAGCGTTGGCTGCATTGCCCGAGAAGTTTATTCATGTCCGCACCGGGCTTCAGTAGCTCAGTGATCTTTCCGAGCCTTTGTTGGAGGGCACAGGCCGTGTACTATGTTTGTGCAGGAAATATACGAGAGGAATGGAGATTTGATGCAGTAGCGCGGGGTTGAAGCAGAGGTACCAACCACTCCTACCAAGCAGCTGTTCTGGTTGCCTCTTGGCTGCGTGCTGACACCTCGGTTCTTGCGAGCCCACGTTGTGACTTGGCATGTGCAGGCCGTAGCAGGTGCTTGTAGGCGGTAGCAGCAGTCGAGGCATGTTTGCTGCCTGGTGCGTCTTGAGAGGTCAAGAGCATCGCCTCGTCGGAGTGGATTGGAGCCTTTGGCATTCACACGTGGATCGCGGGAAACAAAGACACTCAGCTGATCATGCGAGGTTCGTCGGTCATTCCGTCGAATAACAGTCCGAGAGCAAGAGGTAGGGAGACATGGGGATTGTTCACAGACGGGATCCGCCAGGAGCTGACGGGCGAGCGATTTGCCCACATGGTCGGTGATCTCTGGGGAGTCGGGAATGCTGGCTGCGATAACGGCAACGGGCTCAGAGAGATGGAAGAGGGAGGTGTTTCAAAATCATGTTGGATTGATTTGCTTGTATTTCTGCTTGCTGTTTTCACCGGTTTAGTCGTTGAGTCTGCTGGAGATCTGGGAGACTGCTGCGAATCCTCACATTGACGCGGAATGACTTACGAGTCGCATGCGTCTGGGCCTGCGGCTTCACTCCGCAAGCAAGTCACAGCAGCTTCATGCCCTATGCACAGGGAAGCATGAGCATGTGTGTACACAAGCAGAGTGTAGATAATATCCATGTTCTCCGTAGCTTATGTGCAGATATATGTAACATCTGTATACATATGTATAAATAAATCGACATATACATGTAACATGTACATTCATGTGTATGTTTTTGTACATCGCATCGATACACTTACAAACATGTATGCGTGCCTGCTTACATACAGCGTACAGACATCAAGTGTTGCAATTTCGGCCACCGTGTGATGAATAGCTGATTGGATAACTGGTTCATCGTTACTTGTTGTGATGCTTATCTATGTATGCTGATTGCGGCAAATCGCTAAGTAGATAAGTCCAAAACAAAGACAGGTAAACTAACTAGCGAAAAGTCTCTGTCTGTCTGCCTGCCTGTCTGTCTGTCTGTCTGTCTGCATATTGTACTTCACACATATATACAGATTATATATATATATATATATACACAGGTAGAGAGAGAGAGAGAGAGAGAGAGACGTAGGGAGAGAGAGAGAGAGAGAGAGAGAGAGAGAGATTTGAGGCATGGTCGGGCGGGCGCAGTGCCTGCAGGTCGCACGCGACTTCAACATAGCTGCGGCATGTAATCACCATCACCGCGACCATCTCCAAACCCGCATCTTGCTCTACGTAATCTTTACGGCGACCGCCGTCATGATGAATCATACAGCTGTGTGAGAATGTCCAGAGTCTAGACGGTAGTCTACGTTGTTG